AATAAAATATCAGAACTCAGGTAATGTCATTTTAGCTCATTCTTTTTTGTTTTTTTTTTTTTTTAATTTATTTCCATCATGGCCAACTTTCAACGACTGCCGATAGATATACTGCATCTCATATTGGATTATTTGAAAGAAAATAAGGATATAAAGAACTGTAGACTTGTTTGTTTACAATGGTGCATGGCATTGACATATCGATTGTTTCAAGACATATCTATTAAAGACGAATATCATCTCAAGGCACTATTGGACTTAACCACTAGCTCAAAATCGAATAGATTGATTCAACTTGGTCAATACGTTAAAACGCTGACTATCTACAATAGTCGTGACTATAAGCAAATGCCTGTTATCACACGCCATGACTTTGAACAACTAGTCAAATCTTGTCCACATGTTCATAAGCTTTTATTGGACGCCTTTACTTTTGGAAAGTACATATCAGCTTACTTACTTGATATCAGTGACGATACCAAATGGAAAGTTCAGTCATTTGGATTGAAGCATATCACTATGGACATTTATTACAAATACAAAGACTCCATCACGGAATTCTATGCTCCTTACAGGATGAAGAGTATACGTGATTTGGCATATTTCCCGTTACTCCAACAAGTTCACTTGCATGCATTTTCTATTACGACTATGGAAGACTTTATGTTTATTTTTGATACTTGTAGAAACATACGTGATATAAGCACGACAGTTGACATAGACACACCCTCACATATTGCTTGTCCTCAAGATCTTTACCCCTCTTTGACTCGAGCAGAGTTTGTTTGTCGCGGCCGACAGATACCAAAGGGCCTTATCGATTGTATCATACGTCGATTCACTCAGATATCCAACATTTCATTTTATCTGGACAATGAATCTTCAAAGCCTATTGATGGATCAGATTATGATAGGCTGGTGAAGCATGTTGTCAAGCATCTCAAGCAAGAATCAAGGTTGAGTTTGTATAAACCTATCTTTAATGCAGAACATCTCGATCAAGCGGCTATTACGATAAACAACTGCCTAAAGAGTCTCAGTAAACAATCATTCATCACGTCAAGCGTACATTTTACGATTATCCAGAGTATGTCATGGGATAATGAAACCGTCAAGCTGTTGGATGCATTTAAACGACACGACGATGACATGGTTCACCGTTATCTCGAGCTTCACTGTCCGGGTAGATATCCTTTACAAGAATTAATCTATTATCTCAGAAATGTCAAACCATACATTCAAGAATTAACCATGATGAATGACGACTCGTCTTCTGTTACCTCAGCAGACCACATAGACGCCACCTTATATCAATGTCACCAGCTTCAAAAGTTAACCTTTTTTCGTTATGGGTTGCCATCACTTCAGGGTTGTGTCAACAGAGCGGTACAGTCTATATGTATTGCTTCATGTAATATTCATACTGGGTTCTTTGGTGACCTTTCCACAGCCTTTCCTCGCTTAAAAAATATCGATCTGCGTTGTAATACGATTGTTTGCGATTCTGACGGAACTGGATCGAATATAATAGACCTAGGAAGCTTAATATTGGACAGGCTAACACTTGTATTAAGCATCCAAAATGACATGCCCACATCCGATACCCAGGAATATCTTGTATCTCTCAAGACACATAGAAAAACCTCCTATTTTGTCATAGACAACCAGAGAAACCCTAGAAAGCTTAGTACTGATGAAGCAACAGAAAAGGATAAAAGTATAGATTATCTAATCAATTGTCATGATGTTCAGCAGTTTGCTCTAGACATAACCATTTCTTCTTAATGCCTCCATAGACAGTTCTGTTCTACTATTTATTTTCCATCTACTGTATTATTAATTCTTTATTAAATAAAACAATAATTTCATAGACAATGTTCAGAATCAGTCCTATGATAAAAGAGCTTGATTATTTACGCTTTATGTAATCCTTGTCCGCTGATGGTCGTTTCTAACCTCCATGTTTGTTACAATGGACGCCAAGAAGGATCACTTCCCAAAAAGGCAATCTGTTAAACTCAGACATTAAATTCAAATAACCTGCAGTGTTGCCTTTTAACCCTTTCAATAACTCCCTTTCATTATTCTTATTTAATAGTTTACCATGTCTTACCTTTCTGCCGATAGAGCAGAAGCAGAACTTGCTCAGAGTGTTCGAAAAGCATGTAATGCTGAAGAAGTATCACCTAAACGAAAACACGTTCGAAGTAAGAAAAAATGAGAGGAACTTTATATCATTTTTTATTAATACATGTGTAGTCTGTGTTGTCTATACCTGGGACCATCGCTCTTCAGCCATCATTTGGAATATACTCAAAGTACAACCTTTGTTATCTGATGAAGTTCAAGCTTTCAAGGCATTAATTCTAGTTCATAGAACCATCAATGAAGGACATCCTAATGTAACTAAATGACGACATATATTATTGTTCATCACTCAACTTACATCCTAACATTTTAGGCTATTAAAGACGCTATTAGAGAGACAGGCTGGTTAGAGACTTGTGCTCGAAGTGTTAGCGGAGACGGTATTAAAGGATACGGTACACTAATTCGGGCCTATGTCGACTTGCTTATACACAAACTTCAGTTCCATCGCACTCATCCTGAATTCAACGGTACTTTTGACTATGAAGAATATATTAGTTTAAAAAATATCGATGATCCAAATGAAGGGTAAGGTAAAATGTAAGTAAATATTATGACTGACCTTGGTTTCTTTTCAGATTTGAGACTATCAACGATTTGATGGACTTGCAGGATCATATCGATAGATTCCAAAAGACAGTATTTGCCAGTTTCCGTCATCACTCAAATAATGAGTGTCGTATTGGTGCTCTTCTGCCTTTAATAGACGAGAGTCACGGTATCTACAAGTTTATCACCAGCATGCTGAGAGCCATGCATCAAAGTAAGAACTTTCTTTGAACCTTTACTGTTTTCTAAACTTATTATAGAAACCGATTCTTCTGATGCTCTTGCACCACTTCGACAAAGATTCAATGCACAGCACTACGCACTTTTGAAGTTTTATTTTGAATGCTCTAACCTACGATACTTGACAAGCCTTAAGCAAGTACCTGTGCTTTCGCAAGACCCACCCTCTTTGATTGACGCCAGCACACCACAGCTTCCTAAGCGACCTGAAGTAGCCCGCATTGAGGCCCCACCTCCAGCCCAAGCCTCGCCCGAACCTGTGATTGACTTTTGGTCCGAGAAACAAGCTCAGCAACAGCGAGAATATGATCAACAACAACAACGCTTGGCTCAACAACGAGCTGAAGAACAGGAGAAAATGAGGCAAATGCAGCTACAACAACAACGTGAGTTTGAGGAGCAACAGCGGTTGCTTGCAGAGCGTGAAAGACAGAGGCAGGAAGAACTCTTGAGACAACAGATGCAGCACCAGCAGGCCGGTAGAATCAATGATTTGGAAATGCAGCTTTTGAATGCTCGTAACCAAATTGAACGTAACCAAATGATGTTAGAGCAGTATGACAGAAGAGTGAAGGCTCTTGAACAAGAACTGGCTTCTGTTAACTCGAATGCTCAGCTACGTGACCAATCTAAAGATGAGCTCATTCGTTCTCTTCAAAGTAAGAATTTAAAGTTGGTTGTATACTATCAAGATTATATACTAATCTGATAATATATAGACGAAATACAAATGTGGAAGAACAAGTACGAAGCCTTGGCCAAGCTTTACAGTCAGCTAAGAAAGGAGCATATTGACTTGCTGAACAAATACAAGAGCTTGCAGGTCAAGGCCAATTCTGCACAAGAAGCTACAGAGAAATTGGAACGAATGCAAGCTGATATGCGTGCAAAGAATATCGAATTAGCTGATCTAATCAGAGAACGTGATAGAGCACGCAATGAACTGGCTAGACTTCAGGGCGTAAGCATTAGTTGCACATTTATGAACGTCCGTTAATCTTTTGCTTGTAGAACCAACGCGATGAAGTAGAAAGATTAAGACGAGAATTAGACAACGCCCGCGATCAAATTCAAAATATGGGGCGATCAAAGGGTGATGAAGTGAGCGCGTTGTTGGCCAAATTCAACAAGGAAAAGTCGGAATTAGAAGCTAGCTTGATGGAAAAGCAAGCTCTCATTGACGAGTTCCTCAAGCAGATTGAAGATCAGCAGGGAGAAGTGGACCACCTTCGCCAAGTAAGTCTTTTTGCTCGTTTGAAAAGAATATGTCTCACACAACTTGTAGGAAAAAGACGAAGAAATTGCTGTGTTGCAAGCTGGTATGGATGAATGTCTAGCTCAACTAGCTGAATTACAGCATAATGACAGACAACAAGAGCTTCAGGATGAGCTTCACCGTCTGGAAACTATGCACTCTGACAAGCTGAACCAAATACTGGGTAATAACTTTTAACTTTATGTTTTTATACATCTAACTTTTTATTAGATGCTATTCTTAGCACATGTGTTCAAAAGATCAACGACGGCATTTACGAACTTGATAGTCAACATGGCAATGAAAACTCAACTCCAGAACTTGCACTATCCATGATTGAAAGAGCAAGTATTACCTCAGTAGAGTTCATGTCTGCCTTCAGCAAATTCTTAGATGGAAGTAACTCTGGTGATCACACAAGCACTATCACGCGTGCCATTGAATTTTCTGATACCATTATTGATGTCCTCCAACATTCAAAGGGCATCACGCAATATGTCATGCGCGATGAAGATGGCGAAGAACTTGTTAGACTTGGTAAAGGTTCTGCTGAAGCTGTTATCCAATACTTTAGCAGTGTCATGTCATCTTATCTCAAGATGCTTCCTCCTGCCCAGCGCCCTGAAGTTGTCATCCAAGGCGATATGAGAGTTCAAGAAGCACTTACCAAGCTCTCACAAAAGACAGAAGACTTGATCTTGACAGGTGCTACGGATATCAATAAATTAGCCGATGGTGAAGTCGGTGATCTTGTCGAACAAGAAATGACAAGAGCCGCACGAGCTATTGAAGAAGCCACTGCCAGGATCCAAGAGTTGATGCGTCGTCCAGCAAACCCTTCTTTCTCAGCAACAGATATTCAAGTTCATCAGCTCATCTTGAACTCTGTATTGGCACTTACGAATGCTATTGGTAATCTGATCAAATGTGCCACAGCATCCCAACAAGAAATTGTGGCTCAAGGTCGTGGAACCTCGTCCAAAGCCGCTTTCTACAAAAAGCATAACAGATGGACTGAAGGTTTGATCACAGCGGCCAAGGCAGTAGCTGTTGCAACAAATCTTTTGGTAGAAGCCGCCGATGGTGTCATTAGCAAAACACATTCTTTAGAACAGCTGATTGTTGCTTCTAATGAGGTATCTGCTGCTACGGCTCAACTTGTATCAGCCTCCCGTGTGAAATCATCCTTTATGTCGCGTACACAAGAACGATTAGAATTGGCAGCCAAAGCAGTGAAGGATGCTGCAGCAGAACTCGTAAAGCAGGTCAAGAATCTTGTCGCCCAGCAAAACAAGACAGAGGATTTAGAAATTGATTGGAATAAGTTATCAGTGCATGAATTTAAGCGCCGAGAGATGGAACAACAAGTGAAAATTTTGAAATTGGATGCCGAGTTAACGAATGCCCGCCGTGTCTTGGCTGAAATGAGGTAAGTCTCAATATGTGTTGTGATGGCTGGTTTATTAATACCTTCTTTTTTTATCATTAGACGAAGCGGCTATCATACAGAAGAAACAGATTAATAGTATCAATGACAAAATAAAATACTTTCCTTATTATGTAATCAATCACCTTTAATACATGTCTTTTTAAAAAAAGGAGAATAACTCATGGTCAAGTCTGTACGTGTAAGCACGATATTAAGTCTGTGTCTGCTACCATTATAGCATATCTTGTGCTTTCTTTTGAAGTGTGTATAGAATGTCCCTTCAGCTGTGATTGATTTCGATAGTTTTCATGTTGTATATTATTATTTTTAGACCCCTTTAGGAAAAACAAACTGCACTGAGGCATTCCTTAGCATCAACAGGGGATATTCATTAGTTTTTACTTTTTATTATTCTTTTTTTTTTATATATAAATAGATTAGTTATGCAATAATGTTGTTTTGTACAATTTGATGTAATTTAGTTTGATCTTCATGCGTGCATTGTAGTAAAGAAGATAGGACAGGTATTAGTTGAGACTAGAAAGAATAATGAGTACATTTTAATACATTGCCTTCTCCTGCATTAATATAACTTACTCTTGTTGTTTTCAATTCCAGAAATTTTATAATGACATTTCGCAAGTATTCAAGGTTAAGAGCATCGTCTTGTGCCTTTGTCATCCTTCGTATTTCATTCCTTAGCATCTATGGGTACCGTTAGTTCATGCTTAGATTATCACTTTTCTTACTTTATTCATAGCCTTCAATTGAATTTCCCTTGCCTTTATATATTCTAGCTCTTTCTTTTGATTTTCTATATTGACCTTTTTTTGTATAATGTGTGTGAATGGTGCTGTGTATACTCTCTCATGAGGTTAACTTACGTGTATCATATACAAGTCATCGTACTTTTCTTGCCACTGTTTTGATTCTTGATATGCCTTACCCAGCTTAAGCTCTAGGCAGCTTATGCTCTCTGTTGCTGATATGTATTTCTCCCTTAACGACGATACTTCGTTTTGCATCACTATCTTTTCTTGCTCTACACTCAGACACAGTTGCTCAAACGTACGTCGCTGACATTCAAGCTCCGAGCGTACTGTGTTACACTTATGTTTTGCTTGATCTATCTCTTGAGCCAATTTGGCCTTCTCTGCCATACACTGTACGCTGTCATGACATGCACCTTCATTCTTATCCTCTATTAATTGTTTGATTGTTTCTTGAGCCTTTTTTAGCTCTTTTTGGGCAGAATCTGCTTCTTGCATAAAATGTAGCACACTTTTTTTGTTCTCCTCTCTTTCAAGTTTCAGTTCTTCAATTTCATTCTTTAATTTTCTAATTTGCTCTTGTACGTTTCTTTTCTTTGTATTCAATTGTTTTCTTGCCATATTTATTTTATAAGGAAGAAAGGGTTATAAAGCTCAAAGCTAAGCCCAACAGAAAAAGAATGAAACCTTTTTATAAGGAATCTTAGGGGGCTTAAAATATTTTTTGTAGTGCTATTGAAAATAAAATGGCGCAGAATATTATGATCCGTTCAACTTAAGCCCTTCTCGTGAAGTATATATCTTTAAGAAATACTCATGATAACAGTGGCTGACAATATGCTTTGAACAATAAATTGTGGCGTTTTAATCATAGAAGCAAGTAAAATATACATATAAATAATGATGGTATTCACTTGTATAATGAAATGATTATATTGAAGCAAATAGTAAAAATTATATGTTTATTTCTTTGAGAATTGCTTCTCTATATTGAAACAATTCAGAAGTTTTTATAAGGAATTCCTGTAATCCCAATAAGTCAATGACTCGAGGTAAAGTTTCAAGTCTAAGATATGATGAATTAAAAGGTATAAAATAAATTATATTTGTGATCTCACCGTAATATCTTTTGTAATACTGGATTGGATCTTCAGAACCTTCAACTTGCTTTAACTTTAGCAATTTTATGAGCTGTTTCATCATTTTTTCCTCGTCAACAGTTTCTTTACCCTTGTGGGTATTAAAGTCAATTCCCTCTGAAAGCTCCACAAAAAGGGGTAATCGACTTGTTCCTAACAAGGAACGCAACACCATCCCATTTCGTTTAGTCTGTTAAGATGGTTTGCTTTTCAATCCTACGTCGTCTGTTGGTCATACTTGACGAATAAACAAATATAGAATTTGTATTTGTACTTACCATTGCATATCAATGATATAATTGCATGCAACAAACAAGTTGTGGTCAAGAAGGCAGTGTTCCTCTCCAGTCGCTGCTACTGTAGCGAGTTTCTTGGATTTTCAATTAATTTCAAACTACAGTTGTTGAATCCGATAAGGAGAATTAGCTTTTTAGTATTGATTTATATATTAAAATTTACATTAACTTACAAGTGGATACTCATCACTTCAATAAAGCTGAGGTCAGCATGAACTATCATGTCAAACTCTTCCTTCATTTGGGATGGGAACATCCTAACGGCACTCCTCATCAGCTTAGGACTGGCAATGCAGCTTGTCAGTTTGTAAATCAGCACCCCCACAAGCATTGTAAATGGGGGCAAAGGGTAGATTTGTGGATTCCTTCGAGATATGAAAGTATTACTGCCATTTTACTTGTCCAAAAGACAAACTTTTCACCAAGCCTATATAAAATAAAAAGAATGAATACAAGCTAAATCAAATCGAATTAAGTATACCCGTCATGAACAAGATATTCATGTTATATTTGAAAAAGAAATAATGCAGAAAGAAATGTTGTTCAGGACTTATATTTATACTTTTAAAAAGCAAAAATTCAGAAAATAAACAAACATCATCGTGCATCTTAATGAGCCTACTCTTACAAAAAAAAACACTTTATTTTCGAAAGAGGGAAAAGGGACAATAATCATATCTCCTTAATCTGAACAGTTTATTCTTAATATCCTTACGAGCTTTGATATTGTAACACATTTGGGCGTTTTTCGTGTAACAATATATAACACGACAAAAAAATTCTTTTGTTAGTAGAATTCTTTTAGAGAAAGTTGTTATAAAAGAAGCATGGATTCTTTAGCAATGAAACAAGTTGTATAAAGAATAGGATTACATTATTATTATTATTATTATTATTATTATTATTGTTATTGTTATTGTTGTTAGTATTAGTAAAGAAACACACACTGTACAGAATGATCAATTATTGTCTTCTTCCGTTGCTGGTTTCAGCTCAAAAATCATTTGATAAGTTGGATTCTTTGGATCAACCATTGTTCCAACTATCAATGGTTCTTTATGTTTATGTCCGTTTTGAATGCAGCAAATATTCTTGCCTTGTATCACTTGCTGTATCTGACCCTATAATAAACTTGCTTAATACAACTTTGTTTTGTTTGTATGTTTATACCAACATCAACAATACTCCTCACTTCAATAAATTGATGTTCAAATGCAATTATATAAGGATGATAGTAAGCAAAGGCTGTGGGATGCCCTTCCCATTCAATCTTGAACTGTCTTTCAGCTCTTCTTCCCTTTTTATCAATATAAAAAGCATATCTGTCATAGCACATCAAGTAATTGCCACCAGGTACTGAGAATACAAATATACGTTTAACTGTTGAACTGATTGGTATTTGAGCATTGGTTGTTTCATTTTTGGTAATAAAATTAAGGTGTCTATCAGAAGGGTCAAGTAAACCTAGAATGGTTTTATCAATGCCAAATCATGTCAACATAAAAATAACAACTTACGATCAGGCTTTTTTGTGTTCATATCCACTGCAATCATGCCTAGAGGTGTAGTGAGCAATACCATAGACTTGGTTGTATCAATTGCCCAGACATCACAAGGGCTATATATCGGCTTCAGTGGATTGACTTGTGTGTTTGTGAGAGATAAAGAGGAGCGAATAGATAATTTGCTAAAAATAGACTTTCTTCTCATCTCAGTCTTTGGCATCGATGGTTCGTATATTTCAATTTCTGTACCATTCACAGAAGGAGGCTTTGGTACACAAATCAATGTTTTACCTAGACAAGTGCCTACATGAAAGAATGGTACGTTTCCTTGAACTTTCCTCCCAAAGTGTTGAATGCTGTGGGATCCATCAGGTCGTCCATTCAAAATTATCTCTAAAGGGTATTGCCAAAGAATATCATCCGCTAACACTAAAAGCAGCCCATATTCCTCCAGTACATGCACTTGATGCACTCGTTCCAATGGCAATACCTTTCTAGGTACCACGCTTGGCACACACTTCCTTTGTCCAATATAAAGCCCTGAATCAGTGGCAAGCATATAATGCTGACCATTGTCTTGACAAGTGTGTTATTATAATGTGTGTATATTTCTGATATTTCAAATGTAACTTACCAAAAGCAATCATGTGATAAATGTTCATATCAGCAAAGAATTCGAAATCTTTCACAACTTTTACCATCTGGAACACAGGTTTGCGCTTTGACTTGGCTTCTTTTTGCTTCCTAATGGCTTCATTCCATGCTTTCCTATTGTGCTCCGAAGGCGCATACAGTGTATAAGAATCTTCTGTTATTCTACCCTCGTGATAAAAGGTGATGGGTGCCCCCAATTTGGCGCTATTACTGTTTAAAAGACTATCTGAGCTATTGCTTTTTTGTTGTCTAGAAATAGAGTTTCCTAACGCGCTACTCACGTTGCTTCCACGATGCGTCGTCAGTTTTTCTGCTGCTGTAGATAAAAGTGTGCTGGTAGACCTATGAACTGGATTATCTGTTGTGGGCAAGGACACGCCAAGCAGCTCGATGGGAATAGGCTATTATATAGGTTGAGTGGGCCACAAGTGTACATTATTGTTCTTATTACCCTGTTGCGTATGCTATAGTGCTCGGTTGCATTGATGACTTTGACCTTGGCCGTAACCAAGTAATGGTCAAACAGGATGACTTGGTACTCAGTTGAATCAAGACTAGGTGTTCTCCTCAGTGTCCCTTGCTTGATTATACACCTACTTTCCTCTAGTAGCTTCAAGTCTATCTTATCCTTTTTGTTTTTAAATGAAAGATGCGCATTGATTTGCTCCAGATCAAATCGATTCTTGGCTTTTCCAGCTTCATTGTTCACTTTTTGCAAATAGTGCTTTATGGTGTCAATAATGTGGGGTATACTCTCTTTATCCGGGTGACCCTCTTCAGTCCTATCGTATATTTTATCCAACAGCAACGTGTATCTTCCAAGGCGTGTCGTTGGCTTTGTCAGATAACCGTTTAACTCCAACTTACGGGACGATTCATGCCGTTCAGTTTGCTTTTAAAAGACCATAAGTATCGTCAACTTTCTTTTTGATTTCTTTTTTTTTTTTTACCTCTGCAAACAAGGCAAAACGAGGATTATTAAACTTTTCTAGTTCATAGGTATATTTTGCTTGATGCTGTCTAGCGCCGTAGTAAACAAAGGGCTCAAACTCTAGTACATAATGCTTCATGATGTCACTTATTTGTGATATAATAGGGTGCTGTTGTTGCCTTGTTTTCAATGCTGACGTGAGTCGTTGACTGATATCGTGAATCTCTTTTATATTTGAAAACACTTTATCTATAAATGTATCTCGTCGCTTTACTGGAATAATATCGCCATTCTTTAGTGGTTCTATCCACATCTGAAATTGTCTAAGTAAAACACATATAGAACATAGACTTGGACTACCTTCATTATATATTTTAAATCATTGAGGAAACTCTCTTCTGTGTAGATCAATTCAAAGATAGTTTCCTGTCTTCTTCTTTCCAGGGCAGAGATAGAAAATAGGATATAGTCATCTATCAAAGTGGACCACAGAGGCTGGTGCTTTTCTATGGTGTACGCATATGCTGTCACTCGCTTTTCTCGAGTGTCTATACTCTGTGGTCTATTTCTCTGTTCAATGTATTAATTTTTTTGTTTTTTTGCTTTTTCTCTTATTCTTTTTTTTACCAATCTTTCCCTGTTTGGGCATGTGTAACTGTAGCACGGATATAAATAATTGCAGGTTGCAGAGTAACAATAGGTTAATTCAGTATAGACACCGGATGGTAATAATGTATGCTGAGATGAAATAGCAGTAGGTGAAGCTGAATAGGAAGTATGGTCGTCTTCATCTTCATCATCTTCATCATCACTTGCACCATGATGACTTGGCGTTGGCGTAGTAGTCACTGAAGATATATTGGTGCTACTGTCACTACTATCACTTCTCAAAGGGAAACCATGAAAGATGAGATCATTAGTGAATTGATATATTTCGATAATATCATCAACAAGTCTACTCTCATAGCTAACATCATGAAAGAATCTTTGAGTTTCCAAGGCACGACCCACTCTCAATGCAAGAAGACGATCTGTTGTACAAAGAATTTCTTTTAGTTTATCCTAATAACGTATAAGTATGTTTTTATTCCATTTATGTATAAAATCTATCTTACCACAGCTTCTTTACCATCAAATACATTGTTGTATTCGATCCCATTCTTTATACGCTTGGATAGAATCAATCGTTTTTTCAATTCTATAGCAATGTGAGATAGAAATGCTCTATAGTATCTTGGTTGAGGCGATTTCCCATTTGATTTGATCATTCTTTGTTTATTTTTCTCTATTCTTGTCATATTCATCTTTTGAGCTATTTAACCATGAATAATCTTGTCTATTTCTTTCTTTCTATTTACCATCCACAGAGTGATCCTCATGTTGAGTTCGAGATAGTGTAGTAGAATTGGATACCCTTGGTTGAGGTGAAGGTTTGCTATGTTGTGTATTGGATGCTTTGGTAGTAAGTGATCTTTTTAAGCCAAATCTTGTTGTTGCATGTTGTAATAGCTGACTACCACTTCGTTGTAATATTTCAGTCCTTTTCTGAAAAAACTCTGAGGAATTTGAACTAGTTCGTTGTAGGTTCATAAAGTGAGGTTATGATGCATATAAATCCTTTAATAAATAAATAAATAATATGCAAGTAGATTAAATATTAATGCACATATAATTGCAACTCTGTTGTAAATTAAAATAGAAAAAAAGAAAAAAGAAATGGTTGCACCTTACTGCTTTTTTTTTTAACTTTATCCACCAGTCACTCACTCTTTTTCTCTTTGCTGAATCCCAAATTATCAACAAATATATACAAAGGTATCTATACATATTACTCATTTATCTGGTATAGACTGATAGTTGTATCTAAAGCCATGCGCAAGATATCAACCTTTTGCGTTTGGTTGATGAAGTTGTAATTAAGAATCTCAAATCTAAGTATTTTTCTTAGTAGATTCATGCAATAGCTTCTGCAAATAAATTCTATTAATGAGCTTGTTCCGTCTGTTTTACTTTAGTTTGTGCAAAAATTCTGTAATGGATATTTCCAGTTCGAGCAAAGGCTCTCAAATATCTCTTCTAGGAGGAAGAAATGTCAAACAATTTCTTGTAACCAACTTTGAAAGGAAAAAAAGAAAGGGAAACACTATATACAAATACGAATTTATCATAAATAAAAAACTCTTTTATCTCATTCTTCTTGAAAGAAAGATAAACCAAGTTGCGACTTTATAAACTCATGTTTAGCTTGACGCTACAAATTGAATAGTTTTGTTGGATAGTATCATAGGTAGTAGGTAGAGATAACGCCTGTAGAATTAGTCTAACTTCTGGTGAATTTTCTGGTGCATGCAATGTTTTCCAAAAAGAAATGATATCCCAAACAACATTACATTACTCAGATGAAAAAACTGTTTTTCAAGGTAACCAAAGAGACAAACTTTATCAGCCACTTCTAATCCTTATATCTCAAGATATTATATACTGAGCAAGCCTCTTTGAAAGCTATTTAAGTAGAAATAAAAGCATATCATGGCAATGGTAAGTTTATAGAATATAAAACAAACAAATATTGATATACAAATATTATAGGGGGGTACCATCTCAAGCGAATGCTTGAGATATCAGAATCATTGTGGATATGAATAATATCAAAACGGGCATCAGCAATGGCGAATTTGCCAAAAAAAAAAAAAAAAAAGCAACAACACAGAGCAAGCTCTATTCAGATAACTTAAGGCTGTGATGGCCGCCAACTGCCACCTTAATCATATCCTTACGATTATTGGCTATATTCCTTCAAATTATGGGCTTCGATTATCACTTATACTCTTTATCACTCGTGGATACATACTTCAAGACGTGTACCATTGGGACAAGTATGACTTCCAATCACTGTCCATGCTTTAGTAAAAATGCAAATTGAAAAAAAAAGAAAGCGCGAATTAGGCATCACAAACCCTCAACTTGAGAAAATGAAAGGCGTGAAAAGTTCGTAAATTGGTATCGTGAGCACTGTACTACATTTATTCTTCATCACTATACTCTTTTAATAACCTATCGACCTCTTCAAGTACATCTGGACTAAGGTCTTCTTCATCAGAACTATCTTCTCCAATCACATGTTTAGCTTCATCATCATCATCTTTTTCTTCTTTATGTTCTTTTTCTTCAATCACTTCTTCTGATTTTGTCGTTGATATTTCTGGACTGGTCATGTTACTGACAGAGGTACCTGAATTATCAGTAGATTTTGATCTTAGTTGTGGTCGAGTAGTCGCTGCCAATTTCGCACCGGTGGCTAATAAATTATCAAAAATCTCTCTTCCTAGACTCTTTTGCTGCTCAATTGGCTTCTCAGTCAATTGGAATGACTGTGAGAATACGTGGTCAAAAAAGTTTTCCAGTGTTTCATCAGCAAGTACGATCATTCTAGTAAAGCTTTTTAGTAATCTGGGTATGCGCAGGTATTAATCTAGGTACCTCAGAGATGCCAATGATAAATACTTGTTTTCGTCTCTTGCTTCTGCATATTCAAATGCGTTGTGTAAAAAGGTAGACACTGAATTAAGATGTTCTTCATCATTAGTTCGTCTGAAGATCCAAAGAAGAGTCTCAGAAAGTTGAACAATCTCATTATTGTCCAAGTAGTTATCTTTATCTACATCATGTAGTTTGAAAAAAAGCTCTAACTGGGTATTGAGGTCTCCTTTGCAGATGGATCCAATACCTATGATGGCGTCTTGTAAGCTAATACTTTGCTTTTGCTGGATATCAAACTTGTTAAACAGTTGGCTAATGAAATTTCGTGCGACCTTGAGTTGTCTTTCTCGGTCAGGCTGTTGATCTTCCGCATCCATTTTGGCCCATGAAGCGAGGGAACCAATGAATATTTCAAATGACTCGAGATTCATTTCAGTGTGTTCACGTTGATGGTAATACAATACATTATTGAATTTGTCATAGATGATTCCGAGTTCCTCTTTGTCCAGTCCAGCTGTATCCGCAATATTACGTATAGCTGATCTTTTCGTAAATGATTCGATGCCTGCAACTACCTTAAGCTGATGTGTCTGCCTTAGTTCTCGTACGAGTTCATCGGTAATACTGCTGAATTCTCGGTAAGCAACAAGTAATAACTCATTAAATTTCTAAAAATAATGAGCTTTTTGTAAAGAGATTATTTTTTCTATTCCTACCGTCAAATTCTTTGCTTTGGGGTTATCAGAGTTTGGATATAATGGTGCGTCAAGACTGTTGAAGTAGTTCTTCAGTATATTCATAAATGTTCCGTCGTCAGTTGCTTGTAATAGATCATCCCCATTAATTTTCAATATAGCCAAACTACATGAGCACAGTTAGTTTCTTTCTATACAATAAAACACAAAAATATCTTACCCTATCTGGAACAGCACCTTGGGTCCCTCCATAAAGAAACAGTCGAGAATTCTAAATGCAAATAGCAGTGGCATCGAATTGATATAAAGACTCAAGAACCATGGCAAGCAAGCAACAGAGAGTTGAATATCGGCTTCCTTGAAATGTTGATGCAGCTTGGGCATCGTCTTTTCCAGTAAATGCTCAAAAATGATTTGATCGAGCAAGGCACCATACATGGAAGTGCTATAGTAACCAGGCAACAAGTCGTCACATAAAGCACCAAGTGTAAAAAACGCTTGTTCTTCACTCATGTATCTTTTTATTCTTTGCTTAGTTTCCCTTGTATTTTTTAAAGTAGAATGACTTACATCAAGATTGCAGAAGTTACTATATTCATAGCTTGACAGTATCCCAGCTCAGGATCTTTCCAAGAGTAGGCAACAAGCACTCTTCGAAGTCGATCAATACCTTCCGATTGCTGGTACGCTTTGTACTCGGGTAAGGATCTATTTAGATCTTTCTCGATTTCTTCAAGGCTTAATGAGGTTTTCTCTTTGTTCTCTTCCAAGATTTTGTCGTACAGTCCTTGGTTCATGAACCGTTCGTAGATAGCACCAGAGCAAACTTCCCATATTTCTCCTCTTAGCTTATTTGGTAAACCAACCCGAATCAACTTTGCAAATTGAGGGGTCTTTGATAGTGTCAAGTTCCTACCATGACCTAGAGTAAGGTGATCAATACATAATTATCGCCTGCTCATAAGGGACTGACCTTCAAAATACTGCTTCCACAACTTCATCTTACTTTTCTCTTTGAGCTTTTTAGGATCCCCTGGAAATCCAAAGGTTAGACCTAATCCTCCAGGAACCAAGGTCAAGTCTCTTTCAACCATAACTGCCTCAGATGGACATGTTTTTAAAAACCTCTTCATCATTTTCATGTGCTTAACTTGGTTTTTCAAGTTGTTGGTTAATGCCACCGAGAACTGTTCCCGCTCCTCTTTGTTTCTAAGAAAATATGCATAAGCTCCAATAAAAGTTAAATAAGGTCTCTTACGCGTCCAAATGAAATATAGATTCGGCTTGATGCCAATTGATAATCTTGATACCGTACACCTTGGGTCTATCTGTTACTTTTTCTACACAACGAATAGTGTACAACGGCATGACAATTTCAAACTTTGCATGGTCATTGAAAGTAAGGTAAGCCTCGGATAAGCTCAGTTTGCCTGTGTGATCTGCAGATTTAGCCTCTTTTGTGACAAGCGTCGCATGAATAGATGACTGTAAGTGTTCGCTTAGCGGCAATCGAAATCTTGCCCTGAATCTTTCGTCCCTTTTCTGTGCTTCAAGGTTTGTTTTCAATGGCTGCATGAATTTTTCAATTTCTACTTTTTCATCTGATGAGTCGTCTCTAGCAACCGAGTGATGAGTGGATGTGTTCTTTAATACACGCTGCATGGCCAATCCGGTCAATTGCACGAGCATATCATATACTTCGTCTCTCTTGAATAAGTTGGAGAAAAAGTGTTCGGTCTTATCTTTCAAGACTGTCTTGATAGCATCAGGGAACACACCACGCTTCGATCTTTCTTTTTTGATATCTTGTATGTCTTTTAGTTCGATCAACACTTTTGTCTCATAGCCAAGTAGAAATGAGTAAAAAGCCAAATAATTTTCGCTGATATAAAGCCATCCTTGACTCGTAAATCGATTGGTATGGTACGCACATGAATAATCTAGGGGGTTCAATGTCAACTATGTCATTTTGTAAAGATTATCCAAAAAAAAAACCTACAGTTAACAAGTCTTTCAGAAGGAGAGACATCAAATGTTTGTCTAAAACTTCTCGAAGCTTTTCTAACCTTCTCATCAGCTGATATTTCGTCTGTTCCAGAGTCTACAATAGAAAGGGTGTTGATTCAATGTTTTTACTCGCTTCTTTTTTGTTATACCTCTACGTGTAACAATCGAGTTAATTTTAGTAACTACAAATGGTTCTCTTTCATCATGATCTAAGCTGCCAAGTTGAGGTGCGATATTAACTATAGAATATGTATTATTATGCTGTTATCAATGATTAAAAAGTAAAATTCATTACTATCAATCCATTCCCAAGCAATATCAGCCTTCTTTTCTGTTTCTGCTACAGCCAACTGAAGGTTTGTACCATTTAGCCGCTTGTATAATATACGATAAGGTGATTGCTTCGTGTCCAAGCTAGTAATTATTCAGTAAAATATTTTTTTCTCTTCTGTCCTTCTTTTTTTTTACACATTTTGTAATGTGCCTAAAACACTTCTCATTAGTCCACTCTTTTGAGTCTTTGCTTGTTGTAGAACAAAGTAGTCATTCTCCTTTAATTTAGTCCAAAAGGGACCACTGATGTCTACTTGGGTTGGTAACGTGAATAGCTCAAATGCAGCTACTGAAGAAGAAGAAGTCATTACAAGCTTTAAATTAAAAAAGAAAAAAGGAGAGAAAGGGAAAGTTTAGAGTTGTGGAGGGTGGACAACTAAGTGACTTTCATCCAATCAATTTAAGCTACTGCCTTGATTTTGCTTTGGGCGGAATAAAATGTCTGCACTGACATTAAAACCCCCCCTTTTGTTCAAGAAACAGTTCCTTTAACAAAGCCCAAGTGATCAATTAGCAGCCAAGGGCTCTAAAATATTACCTTATTGCTTGCCCATAGCCTGTGCGGATTCAATTTTACCAAATGATGAAAGCTGGAAGTAATAAATGTATGCGATTGGCCCATATATTCTTTTTTTTCGTACAAAGAAACAAGCGATACAGTGTCCTAGAATCGATTAAAGTTGTCCTCTAAGATCGTCTGCTTAAATTACCTCCCATCTTGGGCCTCAGACTCGTCAGAACCACCTTATTGTATGTCCAATCGACGTTAAGCACCGTGCCTTACGCACATACCCTTTTTTCGTCCTTGAACCCAAAGTCCCTCCTGGCTTTTTTTATAGTGGTCTGGCAGATATAAATATAGTATACACCTGTTAAGAAGAGATAATGAAGAGCAACTGTAAAAAGCCCAGAAATAGATTCAAATGAACAATAGGCGTTGCCTTTCATGAGTAGCTTGATTGCGATCAGTCCAATACTTGGGTTATCTTTTAGAAATTTGTTGACATTAACCCTGCAAAATCAATAGAAGCCAGGCATAGGTTATGCTTTGAATACATAATGAGTGACATTGATTAATATATCTAATACACTTCATTTTATATGTCTCTTTTGATGTTGTTTAAATTGCCTAAATTGCAATTTTCGCATTTAAATCTCTTTTATATAGTGGATAGATGCACCAGATGACGGTGGCATACATATTCTTTGTATGAGACTATCAATTTGTAAATATTGTGATATATCTCGAATGCATAAAGGAGTAATAAGGGAAGTATAAGTAGATAAATCTTTATATAACCTCTTTATTGTATATTAAGACGACAGAAAGCTTATTATTACAAACAGCGTCATTTTATATGAAGACAAAATTATCAAGGAACCAATTTAATTTTGATCCATAAGAATTGAGTATGTCGCGTTATATGTTAATAACATATATTGTCGTTAACTTTGATTCCACCGTCGGCTTTTTTGATATTATTTTCTTTGATTTTTTGGCAACGTCGATTTTGAAACAAATACTACAACAGGACAGCGTTACTTTCTCCTATTGGCACAGTCGGTTCAACCAATATGCTACATGCCCTTCAATTGATAATTTTCTTTTTTGGCTCTGTGCCCAATTCAGCAATCTACTATATATTGTGGCTTTCTGAATTCTATCCAGGACATTTATCATGAAGGTTAATTCATCAGCGCCTTTCAACATTTCGTACGCTATAAAAGTCACTGCTGATTTTTTAAAACATATTAGTCTTTGTATCAAAATACAAATGTTGTACATCTTACAAGACGCTCAAAAATTCGTACAGTAAACTAGTCTTCTTAAGTAAATTGATAAAGATTTCTTGGTTTTCCTAGTAAAATTAGGAATACATTGGTTAGTAGCGAATTGGTTAAAGACAAACGTTCATTCAGATTTACAAAAAGCATCAATCATTCGCAAATCATCATTGATTGGTAGGTTTTCTTTCCAGTAGTTAAGATATGCTGTGAAGTATACCTTTTTCTGGAAAGCCCTATAAAACTGTTAGAATATTTGTCTGATAAAAATTGATATAACAAAATGTTTTTAATAGAAAATATATTTACTTTGATATGACTTTCAATAGGCGTAGAATCTCTTGCTTGAGTTGCAGGTAAGGGATAATCTTTTTTAAGAATTGCTCCTCTTTCTTGTTTGCTCATGCGAATTAATTGAGAATCTTTACTTGCGTCTGATAAATCCAAAATGTGATTTCGCGACAAGCTAAAAAAAATTAACATAGGTTAGTAAAAACTCGCAAACAAGACATATCTATTACGCTTTGTAATAGGGGAAACACTACATGCACCAGAAAATACACCAGAAGTTAGACTAATGCTACCACTTGACTAAGAAGTTGTAAACAAAACCAAAAGTCTGCTGCACCCCGGACCTTGCCCGCGACGCTCTATTCATTCCCTCTCTATCCATTGACTGAATATGCATATACGTCTCTACATGCCGAAAACAATCTCAGATCCAGTATCCCTCCTCAGTACACTTCCAGCATGCTCCTCTGTCTCCTTCAGCCTAGCGACTATTTGAATTTACTGATGGCCAACAACATTTACTATCCTCATGACCTGGATCAGCTGCACCTATATGGACGACCGCTTCTTGAATATTTTTAATCAGTTTCTATTATTTTACCCCTGCTCCTATAAGGGGCTTTATATTGCACATTTACATACAAACGAATTTATCTGATACGGGCCTGTACATAAAAATATATGATTAAACGCAGTCTGTTGCAAATGGCATATACGATGGAGATTCACCTACCTTTCGTACGATAGCTTCCATTTTAAGCTGATGTCTCTACAAGCTTATACCTGAGTGAGCTAGACGAGATTATTCCAGTGTGCATGCTTTTTTATATTATTGATTTTATGACCCGTTTGAGCTACTTTTGCATTGGAAGTTGATCTAATAGAGTGTAAACCAAACATTTTTGTGTCGATGTCCCAGCTTGCATAACTTGTTTGAGGATACTGGCTATTGTTACTAATTAAATTGATCGTACTTGCTCTGGGATGATCCAAGTAAACGAAGAAGAGTGTATGATCGACAGGGAAGCGATTGCCTGACATCTTTGGTTTTTTTTTTTTCAGAAATTGCTATAGTGTAAAAAAAGAACACATGTTTTTGTCTTGTAATGTCTACAAAATATAATGCCTCATCCATTGAGCGCTTAATATTTAAAACTCTTGCTTCGCCCAGGTCAGTGCAAGATGTTAGCAGGTGTCTACAAATTCCTCTTTTGGGTGCAAGGGTAGAAGCGCTGAGGCTTTAAGAAGAGGACAGGAAAGTAAATCTCAGAAAGGGAGGCTACTGGTAAAGCAAAAAAATAGAGCGCATGTCATCTTGACGAGAAAGAGCTCAGGAAATTCCTTGAGATTAATGTAGCCTTCTTCCAAGGAAGAAATGGACCGCCGCACGCTTGATAGAGTCTTTGAGACGCAATCGATAAATACAAATGATATGAAGGGTAAAAAGAGCACTCACGGTGCCTTCCTGTCCGCTTCGTCTCAGTCGTCGTAATTGGGATCACGAAGATTTAAGGAATCAATAGGATCATAATCATCCTGGGAACTCAGCTTTGCGATCACTATGAACGAGGGAGGACAACAAAGTAGTGGTTGGGGGTAACGCGTGTCGAAGATACGACTATTATTGGTATGCAGTTATCGCAGACGAGAGCACAGTTGATCCTTAGGAAGGCGTAACGTAGAGAAACTTATAGTCATGTTTGGTAAAGGAGGGTATTGAAGGTGCGAGCAGTAGCTGTTTGATTAGGAACGAGCGTAGCATTCTTAAGCTTTACAGCTTTCTGAAGAGAAGAAAATCGAAATCTGAAGGCAGTAGACGTTTCTGAGAAGATTCGAAACGATAGTAGTAAAGGCTTGCGTAAAGGCAGTGACATTAGAGGTTTGAGCTAACCGCTCAAGGAGGGAAGCATTTTATTATTGTTTGAGTCGGTTGATTTCAGCCTTGGCTGCAATGTGTTTTACTTGTAACTGCTTTATAGTTGTTATGTCTGCTGTTGTAGAAATCTTTTCAAATAGCGTATAGATTCTCCTACCTTCCGTCTGCCAGTTTAAAAGTGCTACTTGAGGTTATCTAACAAATCAACTGGAGATTATGAATAAGCCGAAAAGTAGATATCTTCTATACTTTAAATAGTCCTCCGCTATAAAAGGGCCCCATTCTCAGGGTTATAGTGAGTATAAACTAGTTTGCAAAATAATCAATAAACTTGGAACTCCTTTGATTTGGAAGCACAAGGTTATTTCATTCAAATATTCATGTTCACACCTTATCTAATCGTTTCAATAGAAATCTAAAACACAGTATCTTAAAAGTTCTAACAAGATCGAGAAAGAGGGGGGAGGGTGTGAACAGATAATGAAGGTCAGTTGTATGCCAACATGTGTTTATCTTTTGTTGGATGTCTATGCAACATAAAGGTTCATAGTCCGCTTACATTGACTTGTTTTTTCTTTCGTTCTTTTCTTTATATAAAAGAGATGAACTCACTCTACAATCATGCTCTAAAGCAGACACATGCACTTCAAAGAGACTTGGAAAGTAAATGTAGATATTTTAAAAATATTGTTCAGCCTTTATTGACACTCTTTTTGCTTTTGTTAAGAATTCAAGTCTGGCGAAGATACTTCAATAGGACTTCAAGGTATTTATATACAAACAGAAGAAAAGGGGCGAAACAAACCGTCAATATGTTAGGTCAAATATCTGCATCATTTAATACACTCCAAAGATCGATTGATGATTATGAAAACCTAGCAAAAAGAGAAATGGTTCCGCTTAAAAAGGAAACAGCTTTGACGTAAGGAAAGAGAGAGAGGGGAAGGTACTGAATAGGATAGGAGATCATAACGGATTCATGATAGACGAGTGAGCAAATTTAGACAGGATCTACAGGAAATGAGAACACAGTTTGAGTTTACAAAGAAACAACAGGAAAATCTAAAAAACGAGCAGAATAGAGATAGTTTATTAAGAAGACCTAACCGAGGACCATCAAATGCTGTAAGAAAAAGAGAGAAATAAAAAGAGAACAGACATAGTTAATTTATATATATCAAAGCCTGAACATCCATATCAACCATTATCCAGAGATGAATTTGCCTTACGTGAACAGGCATTTGTTAATAATACAGATTCTCAACTAGACGATTTTATTGAACAAGCACAAAACTTATTAGAAAACCTGACAGATCAACATAATATTTTAAAGGTAAAGACAAAAGCTATATTCAATAATGTAAGGTTTCTAACTTTAGAAATAGAAAACGCAAAAGAAAGTCCTGGATGTAGCAAATTATTTAGGACTATCTCAGAATGTAATACGATACATTGAAAGACGCTCAGCACAGGACAAATGGATATTTTATGGAGGAATGATCCTCACTGTTCTTATCATCTGGGCCATCATTCACTTTATTTAAATAAAAGAGAACATTAAAAGACCGTCAATAGCCACTTCATGTCACCCCAGACTCTTCTTTATGTGTTCCTTAACTCAGCTAAACTTAGATGGCAACTGATTCAAATATACTTTTAGTTGGGCAAGTCTATTTGGACACAATACTAACCGTTGACAATTTTCCAGAAGAAGATTCCAAGCTGAGAGCTACTGATGTACAGCAGAGAAGAGGAGGCAATTGCTTAAACACGGCTGAAGTCTTGTGTCAGTTTCCAAAGACAAATACCTTTCTTATGTCAGCTCTAGGACCAAAGGATACATGCGAGTAAGGTATATGAATTATAGCTGATATTGTATTTACTAATTGTGATAAGTATATAGTACATTGTTATCACAACTAGAAGCAAAAGGCATAACGACTTCAGCTTGCTTGTTTCGCAAAGAACCAACCCCCTCAAGCTATATCATACAATCAAAACAGACAGGCACACGCACAATCATTTCTGCAAATACTATTCAAGATATCACAAAGGACGAGTTTATTCAAAAGATAGAAACCATCAAGGCACGTTTTAGCTGGATTCATTTTGAAGGAAGAAATGTTGAAGAAGCTGCAGCTCAGATCGACTGGCTAGAGTCAATATCAAGTCATGAAGGCTGGAGATCTCGTTTGACGATTTCTGTAGAATTAGAAAAACCAGATAGACCATATATAGACATGCTTTTATCAAGGGTAAGATAGTATAGATTCGAATGTAGTACACTAATGTCTATCAGGGGGATGTCGTGTTTTTTTCAAAGCTGTATGCAGAGAAAAGAGGATATGATGATCCTTCTTGTTTCCTAAGAGACTATCAAACAAGATGTAAATCGAGGTAAGAGGGTTACATAGATTCAATATATATAAAAAAGTAATGTCATCAGTGCCATCTTGTTTTGTACGTGGGGAGCGAAAGGTGCTACCTGTTTACATCATCAAAACATATTTCATTCGCCAGCACTGCCGATTGAGCAAGTAGTAGACACAATAGGAGCAGGAGATACATTCATAGCGGGTATTATTTGTTACTTAAACCAAGGCTATGAACTAGATGTAGCCCTACAATGTGCGTGTCACTTAGCAAGCAAAAAAGTATCGCAGTATGGTTTTGAAAGGCTAGCATAAGTTCATATTTACATTCATATATCTAGTTGTTTTATTGTTATTATTATGATGATGATTATTCATGATAGCTGACTAAATGATAAACTAGCCCCTCTCTTGTCGCATAGTTCTTCATGCGTTTACAATTATCAATGATGCATTTATAAGGCTCTTCTCCTTGATGAGCCTCGACTAGATGATTGATGACATGCGTTTTTTTACTAAAACTCTTTTTGCATGAAGGACATACGGTTGCACTATATGTCTCATCCAATTTCTTTTGAAGTGCTGCTGATAATTCCCTCTTGTGTCGTTTGGTTGAAGTAGTAGTATTATTATTATTTCTTGTTGTCATTGACTTTGATTTAGTGGGCAAAGCAGCAGAAGTAGATTGATGACCAGCCTTGGAAACGAGTTGCTTACTGATGATAAATATGGGTGAAGATTAGTGACAGTAAATATATTTCTTTTTTTCTTTAAAATACCCTTTTTCAGGATTTAAGTTGACTTGATGACTTTTCTGAAGATGATATCTTAGACCAGCTTTAGAAGAATAGGCTTGATCACAATTATATGCGATACATTCATATACTTTTTCACCGTGATGGTTATCTTTAAAGTGTTCGTCCGCGTCACTTCGAGCAAGAGAGACATGAAGACAAGAGGGACAGACGAGAGGAGGATAGATTTTATCAATGAGTGCTGTCAACATTCCTTTGAAATCAGTCGAACGCTGTCTGCCTACAGTGTGCTGCGATTGAGATTGAACTGTAGACAAATGAGGTTTTGGATTATTAAGGGGAAGATTGTCTATAGTTATATATTGACTGAAATCAGAATCTGGATTTAAATCAGTGCGTCTTCGCTTCATTAGCAATTATGTTTCAATAAGTGACTAATACGTATATGCTTTATTAAATATTTGAATGCTTGCCCTACTGCTTGTTTGTATTTAAAAAACACTTACGTTCTTGGCTCAAAAAAAAAAAAAAAAAAAAAAAAAAAAAAGTAAAAGTCACTTAAAAGCCCACTTGTATAAAGAGAGAGAGAGATCCATATGTTTATGCAGATCCAAATTAAGAAGTAGGCTTCAATCTATAGTACACTTGTAGTCCCAGCCTTGCATCATGGTAGTGTTATCAGATTATGTGAATGATATTGAAATAAGAAGGATTGACATCATCCAAGGTACAAAATACATTCATAAAGATTTTCTTTACGTCGATCAGTGCCTGAAGTATATGATTTTCATCTAACCTATTTCAATATTTACCAACTACAAAAGTATTTTATTATTACTCCTTGTAATCAATCATGAACATACTAGAAATACATTGAAAACAGTGCCTTTTCTTTCAATCTAAAATAGATCAAATACAATAAGAAAGAATAAGTACGTCATGGTTATGTCCTGCAAAATAAAAAGAGCGATTAAATGTAAGCTGGTGTCGATTACAATAGAAAATTTTATCTCCCGATGTTGTCTTTATACAGCTCTTTCTTTCTCTTTCTCTCTCTCTCTTTTTTCTTTTTTTTTTTATATTTATAATTAATGCAAGTAGCAACCACCGCTGAGATCTATTCACCAGAGACAAGTCCAACTAAAAGAAAAGACAGTGGCTTTGTCATTGACAAACAGTCAGAAATACCCTCGGACAACACTCGACCATTGATACGCATCCTACCTCAAAACAATTCCAAGCTCAAATCACCTCAATCACCCAAAGGACACACCAAACGAAAGACTTATGCAGATGATTCTGAAGATGAGTTTCGTGTAACCATTGGTACAAAAGTAGCCGAAGGACACCCAAATTATCAATTGATGTATGATATGCTCACTGGCATTCGGATTGCGGTTGGAAGAGTTTCAGCCAAGATGCAGAGAAACCTAACACAAGATGACTTTAATGCGGCTCATAAACTTGCCTTTGATGCGTAAAAAAAAAATTCAAACACATACTTGTTCCTGATATGAACTTACTGAATTGTGAATAGGACGGGTAATGAATTAACACCAGGCGTAAAGTATGACTTCAAATTTAAAGACTATGCACCTTGGGTATTCAGGCACCTTCGAGAAAAGTTTCATATTGATGCAGCAGATTACCTAATGTCGTTGACCAATAAGTATATACTGAGTGAGATCGTATCACCTGGAAAGAGCGGGAGCTTCTTTTATTATTCAAGAGATTACCGATTCATTATAAAAACGATCCATCATTCCGAGCATAAATTCATGAGAAAGATACTGAAACAATATTACGAGGTATTTACTACAAACCAACGCATTTGAAAACAGGGGGCATTGAAAAGTGAAAGGAGAATACTTTCTTATTATTTATGATAGCATGTCTGTAATAATCCAAACACTTTACTATGTCGATTTTATGGTTTACACAGAATCAAATTACCAAGAGGAAGAAAGATTCACTTTGTGATCATGGGAAACGTACTTCCACCCAATAAGGACATTCATGCAACGTTTGATCTCAAGGGCTCAACGTTTGGTAGATTGACATCAGAAGAAGAAATCAAAAAGAACCCAAGAGCAGTATTAAAAGATCAAAATTGGGTCAAGAGAAATGAAAAAATGGAGCTCGGCGAAAGAAAGAGAGTGCTGTTCTTGACTCAGTTAGAGAGAGACGTTGATACCCTACGTAGGCTCAACATTATGGATTATAGTCTTTTAGTGGGCATACATGATATCAAAAAGGGAAACACGGAATGTATTAGAAACCAAAGCTTGCATATTGTTACAGTGAGTATATCAAAATATACGATCTCTCTGTAAGCCCTGTCTCAACATACTTCCCTAGCCCAAGGCTGACGAGAGAGAAAAACGATTGACTAAACGTACAAGGTCAGATGTGATGCGTAGAGCAAGAAGGAATACAAATACAGTTAGCCTTGAATCTGTTGAGCTGCCTTCTAGTCCATCCGAAGAGTAAGGACATGTAAAAATCTCCCCCCTCTCATGGTGCCCTAACTTGTTTCCTAAAATAGTCGAAAATGGTGTATATTTTATGCAGACGACGGTGGTTTCCAATCAAGTGATGAACAAGACAAGCCACTGGATAAGCTATACTATGTTGGAATCATTGATATCCTAACACCATACAACATTGCCAAAAAGGCTGAGCACATCTGGAAAAGTATCACACAAGACAAAACTGGCATCTCTGCTGTTCCTCCAGTCATTTATGGTAAACGATTCTTAAATTTTATGATACAAGCAGTTGGCTCTTCCTTGAAAAAGAAGGTGTAAGCATTGTAAATAAGCACTTTTTTCTGTATATAAAAAAATAAACAATGAAACAAAAAAAAACTTGGTCATACAACCCATATAAAAGCATCTGATTTTCATCTTGTTTTTCCTTCTTTTTCTTTATTCTTTATAAAAAGATGACGACTGAAAGAGTAGTATCCTTTCAAGAACTTGTGGACCTTATCCATAATGATGCTCAAGTAGCACTTGATCATCCTTTTATATTCAAGAAACCAATAAAGAATGTAGCCGTTATAGGCGCTGGTCCTTATGGGGTACAGTATATATATATATATATATATACTTGACAAAAAATACAAGACTTGAACTGTAATAGCTTTGTAGTGCTCGTCATTTAAGAGATGCCGGTTTGAATGTCAAGGTCTTTGAACGAAATAGCTCTGTTGGTGGTATTTGGTAAGGATTGCTAATTCAAACACAGATAAACGCCTAAACGGACGCACATCATCATCTTATAGGAAGTACTCGGACACGGCACCGCCCAAGCCAAAGATGCCCACAAGTCGTATAAGCTTGGACGATGGAAATACAGATGATGTACCCAAAGATGGAACCAAACGCACACGAATGTACGAAATCACACCCGAACTTCGTCAAAGGATCTTTAGAAAATGTCCACCTTCAGGTTGCTATCGTGACCTATTCACAAACATCCCTTCTCAGCATCTTGCTTATCCCGACTTTGCTTTCCCGGAAGGTACATCAGGATTAGTCACACACCAGGAGATGTTGGCTTATTTTGAACGATATGCGACCACGTTCAATTTGATGGAGTTAATAGATTTCGGCACAAGCGTTGACATAGCTGTCAAAACCGCTGATGATGAATGGGAGCTCGTGTTGTCAAAGTATGATGTTTATCCAAGTGGATTTGTCAAGGAAACAAAGTGGAGGGAAAAGTTTGATGCTGTGGTTGCCGCGTCAGGGGTCCATCAGGAACCCTATGTACCCGACATCAAGGACCTGACCGCCTTTAACAAAATGTGGCCCGTGAAAGTGGCCCATTCAAAACAATTTAGACGACCTGAAGATTTTAAGGATAAGGCAAGTAAGGGGTTTAAAATAAATATACTTGTGCCTGATAAAGTGCATTGTAGAACGTTTTGCTTATTGGTGTACGAGTTTCTGGTGTCGACATTGCTAGATCTCTGGAGGGCTTTGCCAAGTCAATCACTATGGCATTAAAAGGAGATTTTACAACGCCTTTTCCAGTGGAAAACATCATTCGTGCAAAGATACCCAAGTGTGTGGACGTTAAGTGTGAAGTAGCCTCGTTTTCGAATCCAGAGGGAGAAGTGGACGGTAGTATCACCTTCCAAGACGGAACGGTGCTGAATGATGTAGATCAGGTCATCTTTTGTACCGGATACACACATTCACTCGGCTACTTGGACGGCCTTATCATTCGAGAAGAAGAGTACCAGTCATCTGCAAAGCCAAAATTTATTGACGTGCCTCCTAGCCATGTCGTCCTTGGACGCAAGTATCCTCTTAATGCTTATCATGAAGTGTTTCTCATGTCGGATCCCACGCTTTGCTTTGTGGGTATGCCTCGTATGTTTAGTATCACACCTTACTTTGATACCCAAGCACAAGTCGTTGCTCGTGTATGGAGTGGAAATGCATGCATTCCGACCGCTGAGCTTATGTGTCAGCTAGCCGATAGCTTTAACCCTGGTCTGCCCCTGGACGACCTATATGCGTGTGACCGACGACGACGTGAAATTTATGTTGGCTGGCTAAACTATCAGGCAGAGAAACTAGGCAAGGCCGATTTACCTGAAATCAAAAACTTTGATGAGAGTTATGAAGAGGAAGGAGCGCGGTTGGCGAATGCATGGGGTGATTTATCAGAAGCCAACTTTCAAAATGTGAAACAAAGGTTGCTTAATGAACTAGAAACATGTTAATTACACAATAAATCAGTTCTTTTTATTTTCTCTTAATAATTCTTCATGGCGCCTTCAAAGATGGAAGCGAGTTGTTCACGAGCAGGCTCACGAGTGGGTGCGAGCTTAGTAACACGGTGTTGGGGTAAAGCACCTTCGACTAATTGAGGAATTAAGGAAGAATCATAACCAATGCCACTCAAACCATTGGGCACACCTAAATCTTCAAGGAAACGAGTCAACTTTTCAGCAAGAACCTCACCGGCCATGGATTCCTTGATCTTGGAAGGATCAGCACCAAAGGCAGCAGCAGCGTCAATATGTCTATCGGGACAAGCACTAGAAGTGAATCGGAATACGGAAGGTGCGGTCAACGCAACTGATACACCGTGAGGCTAAGGGAGAAGACATTCAATATAAAGTGTATCATTAAGTATGCAATACGTACCACAATGGGATGATCTACATTGTATCCGGGATGCTTGTAGTTCTTGTTGAGACCGCTGATGGGGTAACTGAGACCGTGACAGAGATGGACACCAGCGTTACCAAAACCAATGCCTGCAAAGGTGGCAGCCAACAGCATCTGGCTTTGGGCTTCAAAGTCCTCGGGGTCTTTAGTAGCACGTGGCAAGTATTCGACGACCATCTTCAGGGCATGCAAGGACCATACATCACTAATGGGGTTGGAGCCTTGATAAGCAGGTCTTTCAATAGGATCCTTAGGACGAGGAGAACGTTCGTTGTAAGGTAAAGCGGTATAGGATTCTAAAGCATGGCTAAAGAAAAAAAGAAAAAAAAAAAGAATTGAGCCATGTTTCCCACACTATTTTTTTTTTTGGCATTTTACTTACCACAGGACATCTAAACCACTAGAACAGTGGACCTGGGAAGGCATGCTACGAGTGTTGAGAGGGTCAACAATACCAAGAAGTGGCTTAAGAGCACGATGAGCAATACCGGTCTTGGTATGGAGAGGTTCATAATCAAAGATGGCAGTGCCTGTGGTTTCTGAACCGGTACCAGCCGTAGTAGGGACTGCAATCAAAGGGTTTAACTTCTTTCTGATGGGTAAACCTTTACCAATGGGAGCATTGACGAAATCCAAAAAGTCGGCTTCGGGGTGTGCGCTATATAAACTAGCAGCCTTGGTCGTGTCAATGACGGAACCACCACCCACAGCAACAAAGGCATCAGGGTCATGCTTACGAGCAAAGTCGATGGCTTGCTTAAAGCTAGTGTCAGTGGGCTCTACACGGCAAGTATCATAGACAACATAGTTGACTTTATGTTTTTCCAAAGACTCTACGACTGCCTTTAATGGGTGTAATTGGGCAATCTAAAATAAATCGACCGTGAGAAAATCACCTAAAAAAGATTTCCAATGTAACTTACTGTGCTATCCGTGTAAACTGCAACCTTTTTGGCCTTGAGATTGTTCAAATCCATACCAATTTCACTATGACAAGATATATGTATATACTCCTTTGATGAAATGATAGACTCCTTACCTTGTTACACCAGGGCCAAATCGAATGTTACTGGCTGCCATTTCAAATGCATAATCTGTTGTTTCAGCAGCACTAGCATATTGTCGTCCGTACTTGAGTAAGCTCGAAAAGGTACCAGCAGTAGCTGGAGTAGAGTGAGCATGAGAGTGACATGGGCAACTATTAGCGCCAGATTGAATGACTTTCAATAAGCGCGTAACATTGGAACGAGATGCTGCTGCTGCCATTTTAATAAGAAAAAACAAAAAGCTGTGAGAAAAAGAGAAAATCAATCATCTAAATTTATACTGATGGCCGTTCACCAACTCTAGGATGTATGTCGGACTTCAGACATATTTGGTCCACAACTAAACTTTGTGTTCTTTATCAGCGCTATTTGTTTGCTCTTTTTTATTTAAATCATATTAAACTTTATAGAATAAAACTGTATTGTCTATGAGTATGCTAGCTTGTTTGTATAAGCAAGCCATGAACCAGGTGGATATGTAGGTATTGTTTTACTACGAGTGGTGCGTCGAATAACTTCATTTTTACTTGAACTCGATTGATCCTATGATAAATTACACATGTTAAACAAAAAGATGGACTATAAAAATAAGGCTTCCTTACTGCCAATCTTTTCTTCATTCCTGTCACTATATTTTGATAACATTTTTCTAATTCACGCTTAAGTCGAAATTCACGAACACCCTTTGGATTTAACCACTTTAATAGCGCGTCCAACTATATTTACAGATGAGTGTTAATAAAAGCAAATATACAGTAATATCATGTACCTGTTCAGGTCTGTCATATACTTGCCACCAAGGTGGGATAGCAGTTGATTCACTTTGTCCATTAAGCACTTTTAATCTTTGTTCCATGTATTCAGATTCTTTAACAAATCCCTGCCCTTTCAGCAATTGACAAACAAATTTTACTCCTCCCCCACGCCCGCATGGCGGATCCGCTTTTCTATCTATAGACTCGACACAATCGCGCTCTTGAATGATGATTAAATCCGTGTCACTTGGACACTGCACAAACAATCGTCCTGAACCATGCACGAGCGTTCCACCGATATCGTCCAGGTAATAGTAACGATTATAAAACTTGTCTCGTCCAAGCGGTTTGATGCGGTGTGTGCTATACTTTCGGAGATCTCGTTCGACCTGCTCTTCCTTTTTATGCAGGATTCTTTCCTCTTCGTCCAATCGCTTACGAGTCTCATTACGCATCTTTTGTTCTTGATTTCTCACACGCGCTTCTTCACGTTGAAGATGGTGTAGCTTTAGACGCTTGGCTTCTCGTTCTTCACGTTCGGTTTGACGGCGCTTCATAGCTGCTTGTCTTGACTCATGTCGAGTAAGGTATTCCTGTTTGCGTTGAGCTTTTAATCTTTTTTTTTTAAAAAAAAAAGTTAAACAACAAGTAATATATAATTATTATTGTCATTACAATGCACTATCATCGTCATTATCGCTTGCTGTTGAATCATTATCTGAACCACTGCTTTCATCTGGTATATCCTTTGCTTGATTATTTTCTTCAGTCTGTTTATCATCCAACTCGCGTCTCTCAGCATGTCTTTAAAGTAAAATATTAGTCATCTATATAGTACATATCACCTCTTTCTTTTTCTCTTTTTCTCTTTTTTACATTCGCTTGCGCTCTCGGCTCAACTCTATCTTTTGCTTTCTCAATTCTGTCATCTGCTCCTGACATTCTTCCATATATTGCCTACAATAGAAAACGGTAAACTACAAGATATCAGTTATATCCATGTATACATTTACTTGATAACATAGGATTCATTAGCAACGCTGATCAAAAGTTCAAATATCTTAATCTTGTCTCGAAGACTCAAATTGGCGTAGGCATTTTCATGATCCTCAAGTGTAGATCCTGCAAAGGGCACGAGGAGTGACAAGATTCGGTCGATATCATCTAGCATCTCGAGTGGTGCAAGCTAATGACGATAAGCGCTTCTTTTTGATTTCACAAGACAAAAGTGTGTTATACCTGATTAATGAAGCCAATCAATATATTTTCCCATCCTTCACGTTCATCCTCTGTATCGACCGTGCCATGATCCCAGTCTCGGCTAATTTCTTCCACTTCAGAACTACCGCATCCTCTCTCCGGATTCTTCTCACGGTGTTTGGCTGGTGGTCGGAATCGCCAAATGTGGTTTTCGTCAATATCATCCTCGCTTGAAAACCGTCTCAGTGTCTCTTCGTAAGCAATCGAGGTTGCACTTCGAGAGATCTCATAGCCAGATCCATACAGTGACATCGCAGCTGCCATGGCTGTCGATCCGCTACCTTGACTCTCCTTCTTTAAGCGATCTCTTTGTTTGATAATGGCATTAAGAAGAGCAATATTGGCCTCTCGCATCAAGGTAGATGGCTGTTTGTGGTGAAGTGCACTTTCAAAATCGTCAAGAGAAAATGGTGATAGTTTCAAAGGATGTGCAAAGACGCTCAAAAATGACCAAGTCATTAAGAACGATCCATAGCAATCATCCGGAACAGTTGTCTTGTGTGTTGCTTCTGGATGAGGAGGCATATTACCTGTGGGGTTTTGTACATCAGTATTGGCTCCCTCGACCCCCGGTGTCATATCGGTGATCTTGCCGTAGCCACTAGGGTCTCGTCTGTAAGTTGGAATATTCAAGTCCTCCATAGGATACCGCAGAGTGAGTTCTGCTTTGTGCGAATCAATGGCTAATGATCGGTTGATTATCGAACCGTTGTTATGGTCAGTTGTGCTGCCTGTTGTAGGTCGCTTCTTTCGAGACTTTGCATAGGCAACGTTTCTGGCCTCGAATAGTTTCTCAGGCAATGTGGTGTCAATATCGAACTTTTCAGCAGTATCAGGCTAATGCAAGGCTCTTTTAAAATATCTGTACAAGGATCATTACTCGCTTTATTCCTTACTTTAATATTCCAAGGAGCACCTATGTACGTATCCTTGACTGCGTGTTCTTTGATATACTTTTTCAGCAAGTTTTTAGAAAAGGCAAACCTATCGCGTCTTTAAAAGAAAAGAGTTTAAACATCCAATGCCAAACATAATGTTCTTCTCCTCATGTTGCTTACTTGATTTTTTCTTTTGGCAAAACTTTGATCATATCTTCAATTCCGACCGAATCCTCGTCAATAAGCTGAACCTTATACTGTTCTTCCGTATCTTCATTCTTTATGACTTCTAATACCTGCCCATGATATCTGTGACAATATGCGTATTTAGTTGCAGATCAAATATGCTCATCGCTTTTCGCTCTTACGCAATATTATCGTCCCAAGTACATTGCACAAATTCACCTGGGACATATCGATTCACAAAGTGTTTATAAGTGTCATCAACGAGGGCGTCCAGACGAAGGGTTTCTATAAATATATTAAAAAAATGACGGGTTGAGTATGTGTATGGCGCGCGTATACTAGGGTGAAAGTGACTTACGGAATTGGATATGCAGTAGCACTTGTTTTTGGAGATCTAGAGATAATTTGTTTCCTGTACGCTCTTTTTCCTCTCTTTCGCTCTTTAATGCTTCCATGTACGTCAAGTTTTGTTTGCCGGTTGCTTCGCATTGCCAGATAGGCTTTTTATACAGTGACGTACGTTTCAAGTACTCCCTATAAAAAACGGTATGGAGTCAAGGATAATAATATGTATATATAATGTATATGCGCCTCACACAAGTGTGAGAGACGCTGTAAGTATATATAAAGAAAAAGGATACGAATAGTCTGTAAATATTTCTTGGGTTAAAGGTGAGTACCAAACCAAGGTCTCTTTGGATTCCTTCTTTGCTGGATCATATTTGGGTGTTTCAATAGGCGGTACTCGTTTGCGTTTAAGTAATGGCATGATCTAAAACAGGTTGGATAGATGGCGTCAGTTCAGTGAAAAGTGAGAAAGAAAGATTGAAAAGGGAAAATAACAGAAGAGAGGGTGTAAAAGTGGCTTGTCTGACTTTCTCTTTAGCTTGACTCCAAAAACTTTTCAGCTCCTACTCTTTTTTGCTGAGGGTTGACAAGGGAATAATTCAAGCAGATATATGTTTCAAGAAACTTGGCTTTTTGTGATTGAATCAATGTCTGTTGTCGTATGAGGTTTTATTCAATTTCGATACACAATAGCTTCTGTTTTTTGGATTTGATTCTTGATCCAAGTTGTAATACAAGAGCAAACCCCAAAAGAAAAAAAAAAAAAAAAAAAAAAGGAAACAAAAAAGTAAGCAGGCAAACAGAAGCAAGACAAGGCATCTTTGTACTTTTTTGAATATTACCATATTAGGAAATCATTTCTTGTGACTACAGTACGGTTTATTGAAAAGACGCATAATTGTTTGGGCGAATCTGCTTATTTTGATTTCCTATGTGTTGCTTTATGGACGGTCTAAACTTAATAAGATAGCATGGAAGTTCCTCCTTTCTTTGGAACAATAAAGATTTCAAGAGCATATATCATCATCTAACGTGGGAGACATCTTTCGTTGCTAAATGAATATACAATAATTGACCCAGATGTTTCTTTCGACTGATTGCTGAGGCCATAGGCTTTAAACTCGGCTACCTTCTTGAATATACTGGACTTGTTGTTCTTCTGCAAGGCAAGGTCGCTTAGGGCAAGAAAAAAAGAAAAAAAAGTCTAAACTGAAATGATTAATTTAAACCTAGTAATAGAAACACATTTTTTGAATGTTGACCATCAAGCTGAGCATGCGCTCCTTTAAAAACCAAGCCTTGGGTAGAATTTGCGAAATGATAGGCGCTTTGGATGAATCTTTCCTGGGACCTAGTAACGGGCATAATGTCTTCTTTACCCTCCAATAAGCAATCGTGCCAAGAAGATGAAGTATGTTACGCGTTTTACCTCATTACTGAGAATAACACATTTCTTGTCTCCTATTAATTCTTGCTCTTCTCTCAAACCAAAGCATATACTTTTCTTTTAATAAAAAGATAATATTAAAATTGACATTTGGGAGTAAAAGACATTGTAACCCTTATCATCAATTGAACATATTAATTCTATCCTTTAAGCAAGCGATTATTGACAGCTATTGTAAGAAGTAGTAATAATAGTCATCTAGTCACACACTGATGATAATCTTCAATGACGTGTCTATTTTTTCTTTGCTTATCGTCATACACTTTCATGTGGGTGTCTAGGTTGCACAGTTCCTGCCATACACACAATGAAAAAAATATAAAACCAAAAATAGAAAGGACTAACTCACACACACACACACTTTCTTTACTCTCCTCTTTTCTTTTTTTTTTTTATTATTTTATTGTTTCTTTCTTTCTTTTCTCTCTTTATATTATTAATAGTTAATTTACATAATGTCAAATGCCTCTGTTCAAACACCAATGTCGCCTTCTATATCCATCTACCAACCAAAGGCGTCTGCGAATATCTATTTAGAAGACGGTCCATTATTTAGAGCAACGATCAAGGAATATGAGGACCGTACTGTCTTTCTAAGGACAAACTTGAAGCACATCATCGCCGCAGCCACGCTATCATTTGAAGCCAAACAGAACTCATTGGAAAAGGAGAAAAAATTTATCGAGGCTGTGCGCCAAGCATCGTTTACGAAACCATTGTTTGATCATTACTTAAATCACGTCCTAAGCAGGTTACAAGAACAACAAGAAAGGCTTTACCTTTGTATGCAGACATTAGTGATAGATCCTTTAAAAAAGCTATATGAACTCGATGTTAAGATGGCGGATACGAAAAAGCGACAGTTTGAAGAGGCTAGTAAAGAATACTACTCTTATCTTTCCAAGTACCTAGGTAATAACAACAATAGCAGCAGTAGCAACAAGAATACAAATTTAAGCTTTCATAATGAACGAAAACGATCAAGCAATGAATTGGAACTGAGTATAAAGAAAAAGCAGTTTGATTTGGCTCGATTCAAGTACTATACATTCCTAACTGATCTCCATGGCGGTAAAAAGGAGCAAGAAGTACTTTACCATTTACTCCATCATTGCGAAAAGCAATATGCATTTTACCACGAAGTCTGCAAGACATTGGAAACACATAAGCAAGGTTTAGAAGATGTGGCTACTTATATTGCTGAAGCAAGTCGTGAACAAAAAATCATGAATCAAGAAAGAGACGAAAAGAGAAGACAGTTAGAGACCAGCTATGGAACAAGCATAAGCTCCCCAATTACGGAGGCACCAGAAATTACTCTTCACAAATTTGACGGTATACGAGATCTTCAACAAACAGACCAAGCATTTTTGAGTAACGTAGGACATAAGAAAGAGGGTTTCCTATTTACCTCATCCAAGCCCAGCAGACGAAGACATTCTCGTTCGTTCTCTGGTGATCACTGGCACAAGTAAGAAGAGAGAATGTAGAAAAGTTAATCTAATCTTGTTTATAGGCACTGGTGTGTTGTGAGCAGAGGGCAACTTCAGGAATATACCAACTGGAAGCACCAGCTTCAGACCCATAGCCAGCCTATTGTGCTAAAATTAGCAGCTGTACGAGAAGCACGCGAAACAGGTCGTCGCTTTTGTTTTGAAATCATTACACCTACTATCCGTAGAGTATACCAGGCAACATCAAGTGAGGAGCTTTCGAGCTGGATAGCCACAATTAATAATGCGATCAGTGGGTCATTGAATGGTACTAGCAGCTGTGCTGTCTTTTCCAGTCCTAGCTTGGGCTCCTCAATTGACTGGCCTGGTGAAAAATCAATCAGTAAAGCATTAGATAGTATCGCCAAGACAAGGCCCAAGAGACCACGTAGACATCGTCGACAGATCCAAAAGGGACTTTACGTTGAGAGCCCTACGCATGATGCCAAAGACGCTTCATCGAGTGGATCATGGCTACTGAGCCAACTGTATCAGGATCCATCAAATATGCTCTGTGCCGACTGTTCAGCTAAAAATCCAAACTGGTGTTCGCTTAATCTTGGTATTCTTTTGTGTATTGGTAAAGAAGACAAATGGCGCTTATGTACATGCCTTATGCTTACAGTTTTGTTTAGATTGTTCCGGTGTTCACAGAAGCTTAGGAACGCATATATCCAAGGTTCGTTCGTTTGTTCTTGATTCTGATTCAATAACAGCTGAGGCTGGACAGCTCTTAAAATCCATTGGTAATTCAAGGTTTAACGAAATGTGGGAATCAAGGCTACAACAGGAAAAGGTAACTAAGCCAACTGCATCCGATACAAGAGAAGTCAAGGCGAAATATATCCGTGAAAAGTATGCGAATAAGCGATTCTTACGATTGACGGATGATGACTCATCTCGAGTCCTACTTCAAGCCATTTTGGAGAATGACATGGCAAGGGCTCTGTATGCTATTGGTATTGGTTCCGATATGAATCAACCCTTTCCGCTGAGGGACAAGGAAGTGATCCAGTCATTTATTCCAAAGGAGATAGAATTTGATCTAGTCGTAAGGTATCCACTGGTACTTGCCATGATCAAGTGCTGCTCTCCCGAAGATGGTGTAAATAGTATGTCAACACATGATGATAGTATAGATAGTGAGAGTGACTGTGAACATTATTTCCCTATGGCCGAACTTTTATTACTGAACGGATGTGATATACAAATCAGGGATAAAGAGACAGGTCGTGTATTGGCTGATATGATAGCGGACAGTCAAGCTGTGAGTGATGAAGGCATTGAATATCTAAATGTAAAGAATAATTTACGTGGAAATTCACTCATCAAAAGGGCTTAAAATAATTGTCATACGTTTTCTGCATAATTTTTTCTATTTTATTTCTCCATTCCATGGTTCTGTGTTACAAGTGAAATAGTAAAAAGTTGCAATTTGCATTAAAGATGTCCCAAAGTCTCATTCAGTGGCACCAATAAAATCAACTACTTTTTACAATAGACAAAAGTGACACTTTTTTTATTTATGAAAAACAAGTATAGTTGACAAGGAGTGAATTTAAATTCCGAATAGCATCACTTTTCGCCTTCTTACTTTCTACCCAATCAACCCCTGCTGCGTCCTTTTTCCTCGGGAATAGAAACTTGCCAAAAACCATTCATTTTTACGTTGCGGATAATTATTTACGCTGTGTGTGTGTGTGTGTACTTTCGACAGTTCTCAAGGGATTTTCTTTTTCTTTTTTTTCCTTTTTCTTTTTCTTTCTCGTTATTTCCCTTTCGGTATCCTTTCCCTACTTCTTCTTTACCTTCTTTTCAACAAAAAAGCAAGAAGAACAATAAAGTGTGAGTAAAGACAAGGATAATAAAAAGTTACAATAAAAAGAGAGAGAGAGTGTAAATAGCAGAATGTCCTCTAAAGATATGAATACTGAAATATATAGACAGGATGACAGAGACATTTTATGGATATATTGAAACAACGCAAGATGTATTACTCATATTTGAAGGATGCAGAAGAGGCTTATTACCTAGAATATGTAGAAGATTACAGGAAAAGGAAAGACGTATGATAAGATCAGGCTCAGTCTTCGTCTTTGACGAGAGAGAATCAGGTATAATATCATTTAACATCGACAGGGGTTTAAAAAGGGCAGAACTCAGCATTTATATAGGAATCAAACGATGGACGGATGGTCTGGTTTGGAGCCCATCACGTATCCTTGGTAACTTTTTGATCTATCGTGAGCTTGATAAAAGAATACCAGGAGACAAGAAATTGACATCAATCACCAATGAGTCAAGGCAACGTAGCTTCAGTGCAGATCAAACAGCTGGCATCCTTGGTGTCTCAACAGACCGCAATAGAGAGCGTCGACTTGTCGGCAGTCTTTCAGATTCTTATCGTTTTCGTAAAGATGGTCTCATAAAAAAGACAATGTCCATCATCGTCAACGGTGTTACTCAACACTTGGTGTCTTATTACCATCCTCAGGATATCATATCAAATAAGTTACGCACTCCCTCTTCCGTTCCAGAATTGGCAAGTCTGGAAATTTCTCCAGATTTACTAGTCAAACAAAACTTTAGAGTTCCACCCATGGTTGAGCCTTCTTCTTTTGATCACTCTGAAAATGCATTTATAAACTCTAGCTCTTATGGTAAAGATGACAACAACAACAACACAATGTCAGTCGCTTACGGTTTTCTTTAGATGAAAGACGTGCACATTCTTTTCGTAGCATGTCATTAGGCTCGCTTCATAATACAAACAGCAACAGCAGTAACAACATGCTGGGTACACCGGGTAATCCATCAACACCCTCTTTACTATATACCCCATCGCTTGCCACAAATGCGGCTGCGGGAAGAATGAATGTGAATAACAGTAATAACAAATTACCCAACAATGCATTGCCTTCGTCTTATTATACGAATCCACTCTACAGCAACACAGCAGGATTCTCACCACTACCTTCTCCTTCAAGCATTACGTCTTCCCCTATGCTATCGCCTGTGCATCAATCATTCCCACATCCCAGACATTATTCTATTTCATCTGCTTCATCTGGCCCTATTCAACGTTTTGCTGCTCGTAATAGTTTCGATCTCATGTCTGGAATCCAAACCGATAGACAACAGCAACCATCACCATCGCAACAACAACAGCAACAACAACATCATCCTCATCCAACATCACAGCAGCAGCAACAACAACAACAGCCATCTTCATCACAGCAGCAATCTATCCACCCCCATATGCTTCCGGATATGTTTTTATCTGGAGATACACACATTAAAGCAGAAAATGACACTAGTGTAAATGCAGGCAGTGAAGCTGTAGGGATATCAACACCAGCTACGGGTGCTAGTGGGTTCTCATCTAGTCCAAACATAGGACAGCTTTTGAATCCCATTCATCCCCTAAATACGACCATCAAACAGAATGACCCGTCCATGACAAATGCACAGCTGTTTCAGTCGATGAATATAAGTAGTCCATCTAAATATCAAGATTTTTCTTTACCTAGTACAACAGCCGCTACCCCAAGTGGGACACCTCATTTTGACAGTTTTAGCAATAACAATAATAATCATTATTATGAACAACAGCAACAACAGCAGCAACAGCAACAAACAGTGACTGACTCAGATCATCATTACCACCATCACCAAGAACAACAAGATACCCATTCCTCAAATAATCTTGTCCCACTCTTTCGAAACGGAATGGTTCTACCAAACACAAATTCTTCTTCAATGTATGATGAAAGTGCATCGGACCTCGGAATAGAACCATTAATGTTGAAATAACCCCCCTCCCCTTTTATTGTGATTTATGTTTTTTTTTTTGTTCATATTACACTCAATCAAACAAAACTACATGTATTTTGCTTTCCTTTTTTCTTTTCTGTTGTAATTAATTGTATAAAAAAAAGACTTTTTTAATTAAAGAATCACGTATTCTGGTTTGATTCCACATTTGGCGTAACATGACATGTCTTTTGTACTCTGTCATGCGTTGAGAATATGTAAACGTTTTCAATCATCATCTCCTTTAACTTTTGAATGTCAAATCAATGTTTATTTGTTTACACATTTCCTCATCGTCATCCTTGTTAAAAGTCAACTCTTTCTCCGCTCATTTTGAAGTGAGCCCATGATTTTAGAGCGGTCACTTGTCAAGAAATTTTTTTTTTTCAACTGTCATTTAATAAGGCTGCTCTCTCTTTTTCTTTTTTCTTTTTTTTTTTTCATTCACTGTATTCATAAAAGGTAATGTTATAGTAAAGGAAGGAATTATTGTTATCCATGATGAATGCTTTGCCGCCCCAGGCGTAAAAAGTATTGACGATAAACCATGCAAGCTTACCCTTTATCTGACAATAACAATAATTCTTTATTTTTTTTTCTTGAGGGTGTTTTTATTAACTTTATATATATTTTATAGGGGACACTTACAAAGACTATAATATCTTTGGACAGAGAGGTTTCCTTTTCTGATTATGGTAAGTTTTTATAACAAGATAGTTATGATTTGTTTGACATGATGAGCAAAAAACATTCCATGCTAACACGGACACATGATGACCGAGAGCGTGTTTATTTCATATCCTGATACCATAAGCAATCATATCATAACTATCTAAACTCATTTAGAATTTAATCTAACTTCTTTACCCTAGGTTTAAAACTGGTTTTGTTTTTCTTGTTTTTTACTTAAATAAAACTTTTATTAAAAAAATGTTCTTTGTGTCTTTGCCTTATTTTTTCTCGAGTATAAAAACTCTTTCTGAGTCATGATCACTTTAGATTTTTTTTTTTGGCACGATTACAGCATTTTAACCTAAAATGACTGTTACAAATTTTTTCCAAAAGATATACACGGAGATCACGCGTGTAGCTTGAGTCATTTTGAAAGTTTTTTGGGAAAAATGCGTCAATAAAGAAATTGATTCAAGATAAATACACTGAAACTCATAATACATCTATGTGTTCAGAAAAATAGTTACTTTGTTAGGAATTCAAACGGAGTTTGAGTTATTTAGGTGCGTGTGTGTGTCCTTTTTCTGTATGTCAGTGTAAGCACTCTTTTTCTTTGCAATGTCATTTCAGTATCCCTTAATTCTCGACGGCGGTTTTGCAACAGAACTTGAAAGAACGTTTAACAAAGACTTGTCAGGTAAACAGAACTTTTTTCTATTTTGGCCTAGCGTAATACAAGTGTCAACGTGACCTTTTTAATAAAGGTAAACTGTGGTCAGCCAAGTGTTTAGAGGATGACCCAGATGCAGTTAAAGTAAGTAAAAGAGAAATGAAGAGAGTTTCTTGTTTTGCATAGTGACGACAAATAGTCTGTTCATAAAGCATATTATGAAGCTGGGTCAAATATTGCTACAACTTGCAGCTATCAAGCATCGATTGAAGGGTTCTCTCAGGCGGGCTATACTCGTGATCATGCAATCGAGCTAATGCATAAAAGCATATCTTTAGCTTGTGAAGCTAGAAAAGAATTTATTCAGGAACATCCTGAAAATACGAGCCCAAAGTTAGTTGCCTTATCTATAGGTTGCTATGGAGCCATACTCGCGAATGGTGCCGAGTATACAGGCAACTATGGAGATACAAGCGTGGATCAACTGGTTCAATTTCACAAAGAACGTCTGTCTGTGTTCCTTCAATCCAAGGAAAGTAAAGTGGATTTTATTTTGTTTGAAACCATACCTTCGGCATTAGAAGCCCGTGCTATTGCAAGCATAGTGTCCGATTTTGATTCATTGCCACCTGTGGCGGTTTCTTTCCAATGCCGATCTGATCATGACATTGCTGATGGTACACCGCTTCAAGATGTACTTGCGCTGTTTGATACAATCGATCATGTGTTTGCTACAGGAATCAACTGCACGAAACCACAGTTTATTGAGTCACTTATTGACATCATCGTAAAGCATAACAAGGCACAAAATAGTCAAAAGGTGCTCTTGCTTTACCCAGACGGTGGAGAAGTGTGGGACGCTGTAGCCAGAACGTGGGATGCCTCCTGCAAACTACCTGAGGATAAATTTGGCTATTTAATGGCAAAATGTGTGGAAGAATATGGTCCACGTGTGATTGTAGGCGGATGTTGTGGAACTGGTTTTACTCACATCAGAAATTTAAAGTCGCACTTACATAAATAAATTCAACACTTGTTGATACAAACAAATTGGAAACAATGAAAAGGATGGCAGTTCTTCACATTATTGATCATATTACCAAACTAGGACTTTTTAAGTCAATCCAAGGGGGTTGTCACACGCAAAAGAAATAAGAAGGTGTTGATGTCATATCTAGGGCAAACGATCATTTCTATGCCTGGTAGTCGTTTCAGCCAAGATCAACATTGCTCCTTTTTTTTTTTTTGAAAAGGTTAATGTATTTTAATATCAACTTGCTAATGTTGAGCTATTTTTTCATGTAAATCAACGGCAAAAAGCATGACATAAAGAGTTAAAAAAAAAGGCACAGTTTTAGAAATACAGGATGTATCATGGGAACTGTGCATTTACCCGAATTGTTCAGGTTTGCCTTGTGTCAATAATTAATTTTACTGTCCTTTTTTGAATCTTATCATTCCAATTGTCATTCATTGTCTGGGTTAAAAAAGATTATAATTATTGCACTATTATCAGTTTTTTTAAACTCTCTGGTATATAATAAGCCTCCTCTCATTCATTCTTTTTCTTTTCTACTTTTTCATTGGAACCAAGCAAGTTTCTCAGTCACCATGGCAATACTATACGCCGATACTCCACCGCCAAACTACTTGAATCAGTTTAAGGATCAAGTCAAGCGATTGCCTCATCAAGCTAGATCTTACTTTAGGTCTATGTTTCCTATCGTCGATTGGTTACCGCACTACAACTGGATTTGGCTTTCTGGCGATCTAACGGCCGCTGTCACGGTTGGCACATTGGTTATCCCTCAAAGTTTAGCTTATGGTAAAAAATGGCTACCTCTCTTTGTTTTTTGACATGTCTCGGATTAACCAACTGAAATTAGCCAAGATTGCTAATCTCCCACCGGTCTATGGACTATATACTAGTTTTATAGGCGTTATCTCATATCCCTTATTTGGAACTTCAAAGGACATTAGTATTGGTAAATTTTTAGAAAAAGTCAAAAAATAATATATGCAGAAAATTTAATAATTCTGGTCTAATTCATTGTTTCACAGGCACAAGTGCTATCATGTCTTTACTTGTGGGGCAAATCATTACCAAATTTGTTACCACTTCACAGTACCTGTCAGGTGAATGGACAATGACGGATGCTGTTACTACGCTTGCCTTGTTTTCTGGTTTCATCACGATGCTCATCGGTCTATTGCGTCTTGGTCCTTTGTTTTACTTTATTTGTCAGCCCGCGATTGCTGGGTTTATGGCCGGAAGTGGCTTAACGATCGTGATCAACCAGTTTAGTAAAATATTTGGTGTTTCCGGAATCAATACCTCCGAAGCCCCTTATCTAGTCTTTGGCAAAACCTTGATCAACCTTAACCACTCTACGATTGATGCTGCATTTGGCCTTACATCCTTGCTCTACCTTTACGTCGTCAAGTATCTCGCCCAACATCTCATGCGTCGCTACCCACGCCACGGTCGCTTGATCTTCTTTTTTAACACAAGCAGAAGTATTGTCGTCTTGGTCTTTAGTACACTCATTTGCTTCATGATCAACCGTTTTGGTCATTTCGAAAAGAGTCCCTTCCAGATCATCGGAAACGTTCCTGCAGGATTTGGCCATATTGGCACACCTACCATCAAACCAAGTCTCGTTGGCTTCTTTGGTTCGGACTTGATCGGTATCGTGGTCCTTCTTATCATGGAACACGGCGCAATCGCGTCCAGTCTAGGCAAGATCACGGATTACAAGGTTGATATGAGTCAAGAAGTGTTTACCATTGGTATTGCCAACATCTTTGGTTCATTCTTTGGCGCTTATCCTGGTACAGGCGCATTCTCACGTACGGCTGTCATGTCCAAGTCAGGCACGCGTACACCTCTTACAAGTTTCTTTGTCGGTATTATCGTTGTCCTATCCATCTACGTCTTCACACCTGCATTTACATACATCCCCAACGCCTCATTGGCTGCCATCATTGCACACGCTGTGTCAGATTTGATCTCTGGACCCACCGTCTGGAAAAAATTTTGGGACGTACATCCCACCGAACTCTTAATCTTTGCTTGTGCTTACATCATCTCACTCTTCACTCGTATTGACATCAGTGTTTACGTTCCTGTTGTTCTTTCCCTTGTAGTACAGATCTACAGAACAACTCGGCCCCAGTACGCGTTCTTGGGAAGCCTCGATGACGATATACCTGTCGAAAAGCAGGATGAGGAAGCCTCGATCGAAAAGCCCCTCCTGTACCCCATGAATCATCCTGTGCTCAAGCCTTACTTGCATCCAGTTGACCCATCTGTCATTTGCTTCCAACCTCAAGAAAACATTGTTTTCCAAAACGCTTCTTTCATCTTTGAAAAACTCATTGACATGGTCAAGAAGACCACACGACAAGGCAAACCCCTCGCAGAAAAAATTGGAGATAGACCATGGAATAATGCTGCATCTCCTGGCAAGGAACAAGAAAGGCCCTTGCTAAAGTCTATCGTACTCGACTTGTCGGGCGTGCATCAGATGGATTTCACTGGCATGGAGACTCTCATGGATACTGCCGTTGCTGTGGAGAGATATGTAGGCTCTCGTGTCTGTTGGTATATCGTCCCTGGCCTCTCTTCTCATGTTCGCAAATGTCTGTTATTTGCTGGCTTTGGTACACAAAGAAGAGATGCAGTAACTCCTGGAAAGTTCTTGTCTGATCTGTCTTTCAAGAACTGGCACCCAGATGGTACCAAGGGCTGCTGTATGAAGGCACATCTGGAGGAGAAGGGTAAAGGTCGTGAAGAAGTCGTCGAGATTGAACAAGTGAATGAGAAACTGAAAAAGAAAGATCGTATTATTGGTTTAAAGATCATGAGCAAGTATCAAGAAGATGCCAGTTCTACCGACATTGTTTTACCCAGCAAGATGGATGAGTATGGTAAACCATGGTGTGATTGCTCTCTCAGCGCTGCCGACCTAGACAAGGTGTCAGTTGTTCAAGATAGATTTCCTTACTTTTTTGGTTCTCTTCACGATGCTATTAAGGCATCCGTAAGACAAAGGACTGAACAAGATCAAGACGTAGATAAAATAAGTGTCATCTCTGACAAGGGATTAGGATCCTCATCATCTTCCAGTGATTGATCTGTACATATACACACCCATTTATATATATATATATTGCTAGTTTCTTTGTATTTTTTTTTTTTTTACAAGGATTTATATTTAAATACCTAATAAATAGTTATAATGTAGATTATTTGATGGTATTCACCATAACATTAAACGTGTTTCATACGATGAATGCATAAAAGAACTCAATTTTTTTATTTTTTTACTGTACAGATGAGCACATAAAATGCAAGTTTAAAGATCGTCGTATGTTGTAAGAGCTCTCTGAGGTATGGGCTCTAAAGGTTGAGCGTCATCTATAGGTTTAGATACCGGTCGACTTCTATCGTCAGTGTACATCGCCTCCTTTGCCATCAAGCCATCCTCGTCTTGCCAAGGGACATTACCAAACCCTAGTTTATTTCTTTCAGGTATCTTTGCTCGGTTGACTAGATAATATGAGTTATATACTATGTCAAGAAGAAGTGTTTCATACCTTTTATTTGCTTGGCACCAAATAACACGCCATGCATATTTTTGATGGCTGCAAGTGCTGCTTCTTTCTTCTCAAAGGTAACAAATGCATAACTTTATGGTGGTGCTTTAGTAATGGTTGTTTATCAAATAAAATACTTACTTCTTTCCTTCAGCCATGCGTACATCCTCAAGCGTGCCAAAGCGGGAGAATGCGTCTCTCAATTGATCTGCTGTGATGTTTTCAAGTTCTCCTACATATATCTTGTTGGAATAGAATTCTGTATCAAGGTATTGTGCTGCTTCAGAGTAAGGCTTAAGAAAAATGGTTAGTCTAAGAACTATCAATAAGATATGGCAAATTACATCTCTGTTGCTTGAGTGATAATGACGGGGATGGCCGTGATAATGGGATGATGATCTGTAGTTAGGTCGACTGTGTCTAATGTGTCTACGATCATAATCACTATCAGAATCATCCGAATATCGTCTATGATAAGATCGTCTAGGAGAAAGAGAAGAGGAGGAGGATCGTCGTCGACGGCGCTTGGAGTGGTATCTATCGTCTCTTCTGTGCATGTCGCGATCACTATCGGATCTATCGTCATATTCTTTCTCTTCTGCACGTTCGCTCTTAAATTTCTCTCTACGACGTTTTACTCTACCAAATTCATCCAATTCTTCTTCATCGCTTTCTGAATTCAACGATCTAAAATGAAAGCAATGTTAATGAATACTAAACAGGACAAAACAAAAAAAGTACCTTCTTCGATCCTCTGCTGCATAGTTTTTTCTTTTATCAAACTAAGTAATGATAAGTCAAACGTAATTATAGGCCTTTGTTTCTACTTACTGTTTCCTCTGACATTATGCAAAATGGAACAGCTAAGAATTTTTTTTTTTGCAAAAGAAAAAAAAGAAAGGGTGAACAACATTTTTTCCTGATTGGATAATTTGTGACAGCTTGAATAAAGAAAGCCAATAGCAATTTTGGGGATGATACAAAAGAAGAGTGTAGTTTTATTATTCGTTTACATTTCTTCAAGGTCATCATCGCTATCCATCAAGTCTTCTTCAGGAAAGTCACCTACATTCACTTTAATAGGACGAACAAATCCTCCATATTTGTTGGGACAAGTAAAGTAACGAACACCTTGGACACTCCCATCATTTTTACCAAGAGGTTCATCATATTGAACACCCACCCATAAGCCAGGTTGAAACTGTGTTTCACCTACGAAACGAACAGTGCCTCGTCGTCTTACAGATTCGTCGTCTCCAATCACCTCACATCTGTCTCCAACCTTGATATGTTCTGCTGCTTCCTTGTAAGCTAATTCAATAGCTCGCTCTTTGGCGGCTGCCTCTTCTGAAAAACGACCCAACTTGTTACGTTCCTTGAAAGCTCTGACGGTATCTAAAACAGAGATGATCAGATTCTTGCCTTTTTCTACATAAACTTTTCATACCTGATCTTTTGGTATACTCTTCTTCTGTCAGTTCAAACTTTTCAACGAGTGATACGTCTGTATACTGGTTCTTGATACGATGAGGATTGGTGTCTTTAACATACAGTCTCATATAATCTTCAACAGGGTATGCTCCTAGCATTTTATCTTCTTCATCCAGTACACCCAACAGGCTATTTCCTTGATATAACTCAATTACTTGTGTTGAATAAGGAATACCTGTGATAGGCTCAAGCTTATACTATATACATAAAAAAAAGAGGAGCTCATCAGAAAAAACTACAACTGAAAATAAAAACACCTCTGTGTCAAACCTTGAGTTGGGAAATGGTGAGTCCTTTATCAAATCGTCTTTCAGTACTGACTTTCTCTTCAGAAGTATCGACAAATAAAGTAACAATGGACATTAGGAAATAGAAAAAGGAAGAAACAGCATGTCAAAAAGAAAGAGAGAGAATGACAGAAAACGTAAAAAAGTCCGCTTCTCAAAATAGTGATTATGTGCGTGTGTGTACCTGAAGGGTTGTACAAAGGGCTACACTGCACGAAAGAATTAGAAGCAGTCACAAGTAGACGTCATCACGACAGTTCTACGTTTAGACAGAAGGACCCACAATTTTTTTATTACTACTATTATTTCTTGTATTAAAATGTTCAGAGCCTTGAACCGTTTTGCTATTGAAAGGCCAGTCATCTTTTGGTCATGCGTTCTTGGTGGCATTGGTAATTGTAAACTAGAATTGAAATGAGCAACTTTTTTAATCTCGTATTCTTCAGGCCCTGTCATGGTATTGACCGTACCCAAGATCAGACGTGAATACTTTGGTTTCAAGGGCTATGAACCACTTCCTATTACATATCCTCGTATGTTTTATAGTTTTAATGCTTAGATATATACTTATACTGATTCTTTATGATAGTCCCCAATCGTTCTCGTAACCCTCCTTCCGGATATGAAGACAGTGCATAATTGGATAGTTGATATAAACATACGCACACCACACACAACACAACACACATTTATACAAGAATATATACAATCAAATGTACACATATACAGCGAAATAAAATAAAAAATATCAAACGAAGTATTGTTTATTGATACATGGTAGCTTGGCTTTTTTTTTTTTTCTTTAAAGCAAATAATGCACAATCTCTTTTTTATTTTATAATAGCACAAAAGAAGAAGAGACTCTTTGTTATCATAATAGAACATATACTTTTGATCCATAATCTTTTAGTCATGCACTGATCCCAAGCAAGATATTATTTACATATCCATGAGGATGCTACTCCAAGGATACTAATGATCAAAGATAAACATTAATGAAGCACTTTTATATAAACAAATAGTGACTGCAAAGCGTTACTTTTAAAGTATATATTGTATTGGTTATAATAGGTTTTCCATTGAGTAATAGTTAGAATAGCAAAAAGTGATCATCTTTGTGATTAATCAACCCTTTCTTTGGTACAACAATTTGTCCATTAAAGTGATTATTTAAGCGGTATTTTTTCAATACAAACTTTTAATGTGTTGAAACTTTAATTTAATACAATTAAATGAGCTTCCCTTCTTTCTCTCTCCCTCTCTTTTTCTTTTATTTCCTCTTTCTTTTTTTTCCCTTCCCTCTTGTCTTGACTTTATGATTTCTGGAAATCAAAATATACCACAAGAATCATCATCATACAAACCATTGCCTTTAAATATATCCTATCTATTATGCAATTCAGAAGAACCCAAGGATCATCGACACTGTGGACGATTTCGCTGGATATATGAACATAATGAAACTTTTCGATTAGATCATCCAGATTCAGCTTATTCGTCATTTTATTCTAATAACAAACAAGTTAAACGAAGAAGGAGAAACGCCTCAAAGGATCAACTAAACATACTCGAGAACGTGTTTCAAAAGACTCAGTTCCCGTCTGCTCGTCTAAGAGAAGAATTGGCAAATAAGCTTAATATGAGTCCGCGTGCGGTTCAGATTTGGTTTCAGAACAAACGACAAGCTTTTCGAAAAGGGAAATATTGTCCCGTAAACATGAGTGCTGATAGTAATAATAATAATAATAATAATAAAGAAAGTACCTGTAAATAATACTTTAAATAGCTTCAAGCGACTTTTATTGTAATTATTACTGTTTTATATACATTAAAAGATAGGGAAAAAAAAAAGAAAAGGCAAGAGAAAAAGTTACTACATACATACTTTGTTAATAAATAAAAAAAGCGGAAATAAAGGTATGAAGAGGAGGAAGGGAACATGGATAGGCGTTTACATGTGTATATATATGTGTGTATGTGTGTGTATATGTATCTAGAATAACCTTTCTCCCTTTTTTTGTTTGTTTTTGTTGTAAGAAAAAAAAAAAAAAAAGAACTCTAAGTATATATATGTGCGTGTGTGTGGTGCATATATGAAAAAGTGATGTATATAATGTTGCTCTTTTTACCGTTTCTTTGGTGCAGTAGGTTTAGGTTTATGATAGACATGACACTTTTAAAATGATTAATAACACTATTTTCATACTAATTTCTTTATCTACCTTATGTGCGTGTCTATACCAAAGTACGCTATTCTTTCTCTTTACGTTACTCACAGCAACCCATTGATGACATTGATGACAAAGGCCTTCAACTAAATCTTGATCCATCCAACGTGTCTCAAGAGGTTGAACAAACTCTTTACCTGACACAGATGAGATACCATGAAAGAACTGTTTATGATACCTAAAGAAACATAAGAAGCTATTTCTTTCATGCATGTATGATTTTACCAGTAAGCACTGTTTTTAAGTTGCAGCCATTTACCAGGTTTACATGTATCACATAAACCTTCTTTTGATTGTCCATTGTATCTCACCCATTGAGGCGTATATTGATCACCAATAAATCTCAATTTCTGCTTCCGAGGTCTGGCCTCTGGATCTGTTCGAGCTGCTTCCACATCCCTTGCAGACATATCAGGAAATTCATCATCGTTTGCTTCAATCTCTTCTTCATCATCCACATAATAATTGGACTTTTGCTTCTTTCTCTTTTTTGGTATTAATACAGGCATGTGTTGTCCATAGGCTTGTTGCTGTTGTTGCTGCTGCTGCTGTTGTTGTTGTTGTTGTTGCTGTTGCTGTTGTTGCTGTTGTTGCTGTTGTTGTTGCTGATGATGTTGCTGCATAGGATCTATTGGGCCATGAGGGGGTAATGGCAATTTGCCGTTAGTTACAGGATAATAGTAACGTTGCTGCATTTGGTGCTGGGGTGGGAAAGTATAACTGTAATATGCTTGGGGCTCCTCACGTTTTTGTGCCATATCAGATTGACGTGCAAGGGGATGCAGCATAGGCACTTGATCCTGCTGATGAGGGTGTAAAGGAGGTGGTGGATAACGATAGCCATGTGGCACTAGGGGTTGAGCTGGGTGATACAGTCTCTGTTGTAGATGTGGATGTTGATGCTGAGAAAAGTCATAGGGATAATGATTACTCACTTCCTCATGGCTCCAAGTGATCTTGGTAGGCATCGTATGTTCTATATTTGGGTCTTGTTTCATTTTTGGGTCAGTTGAACTAGCAGTATTCGCAGACTTTAGTAACAGGTCTGGTCTTTCCAAAAAGGATTCAGGCATAGTTTGCCAGCTCATGTTGACATCGTAAGAGTATCGACGGCTCTTAGTCTGAGATACATCCCCCCAAGAATTCTTGTTTTGGGTGGGAATGGACATGTCATCTTGCCACTGCTGATGTCCGCCTACAAATAAAAATTTTCATGTTAGTTACTGGGTGTATTAAAAATTTTTTTATGCGCATAATTTCTGCATACAGACAGAGATGCACTTGAAAATAAGCTTATAATACTAACCTTTATGCTCATTTTCACTTGATTTAGGAAATGCCATTAGCTTATTAAAATTGGCTAATAACATGGCTGCTTCAATAGAGTTTCTTTGCTGTGATAGATGCAGGCTCAGTTGAGTTTCATGCTTTGCACCAAATGGCAAACCGAGGATAGCAGGACTACTTTTACGTTTATCATATCTATTAAATAGTAAAGCAGGATTCAATCTAGTGGGCCTTATTGAAGAAGAAGAAGAAGAAGGGAGTTGAGTGTTTTCATTATTATCTTCAAATGTTTCTTCTTCTTCGTCTTCTTCGTCTTCTATTTCGTCAATATCTTCTTGAGAGTTACTTATATCTTCTTCCTCCACTAAAGTGGGTAATATAGTAGGGACAGTACTTTTAGAGCTTGGCTGTAAAGAGGACTGGTTTTCTGCATAATGATGAACAGAATGGTCCTCTGATGGTGGAATGTAGTTTTGAATATCCATATTATAAACAGTAAAGAAAAGTGACTCGCACAATCAATCTTTCAAGGGAAAAATGGGAGAAAGGGGAAGGGGGTTTGATAGTTGTAGTAATAGTAAAGGTGAATCCTTTAAAAATATAGAAAAAAGGTTTTCAGAAACAAATAAAAGAGAAAAAAAATTCAAGCAAAGGACAACCAATCAGATAATAGGCTATTTAGCCTCACTCGCATTCGTGACTTTGTCCTCTTTATCTTTTATTCGATTTAACATACATTTTATTATTGTAGAATAATGAAAATAACGTAATCTGTTACTATTGAGTCTAAAGTCAATTTGTAGCTTGATTAATTTACATTTATCTATTGCTTATGTACTCGATCAACAAGAGATACATCTTGCATTAGATGGCTTATTATTTCAAACTCCGTTTTTAATTTAATTGGATAAATTTCATACACCCAAATTATTGCTTGTGTGCTTTTTTTTTTAAAAAAATATGCTTATTCAATCTTTCGCTGATCTATTTCCTAAAGTAGAATGATTCTTAATGCAACCATGATATTTTTGAAGGGAAGCCTATCTCATTATTTCTTGACATTATTTTGATTTAAATTGTATCAAACACTTTATCTTTCTCTACTTTAGCGTATTATTATAATAAAACATATGTTTTACCTTTTTTATTGTTGGCTAGCATTAAATGAAAATACGTGACAGCATTGTAGTAACTATGGTGACAATATTTTCTATAAAAATAAGATAATCCTTTTTTGTTTCTATTAAACAAACTATAATAAAGTTATCTTGTATGACTATTATAAAGCCATAAAAGCAAGCTTTTAATTTGAGCCTTGCTGAGTGGTAGTTTAAAGCAAACGCAATTTACCTGTAGAAAATGTTCTTTCAGCTGTTGAAGAATAATCAAATTAGTATGTATTAGACACACAAGCTCCCTAGTGTTATTATCTAAAGTATTGTAAAAGCCTGCATATTAGAAAAGGTTCAGTAAAACATGGCATCCACGCATGCTACTTTCAAGATATCTGGTATAGTTGCAATAAGTGACCTGCTGTTTATGAACTTTTTGCTTCAGGTTTTAATCTTTGATTTGAATAACATAGATATAGTATCTGTAACAAATGTAATAATGAAAAATACTGGTGCCTTAATTATTGGCTAAAAATAAAGGATATCAGAAAACAGCATTTTATTGAGCATAATTTCTGCAGCAAATAATATTAAGGCTTTGGGGTGGGCACTTGCTGAGTATATGCATGTCTGCCGAGATTAATACAAGAAATGAACTATTTGCTAATCATGTAATGTTTTGCTATAAAAAATAAATGATAAATCAGTATTTAACCACTTAAAGTAGAGCTTAATAGTTAGAAACACTTGGTATTCACGACAATTTTCATAAAAAACTCTACTTGGTGTTTATTAAGTTGGTAAGCAAATGTCAACAAAAATGTCATAATAAGATATGGAGCGCTTTGCTCCTGTTAATTGTCGTGGCTTACTCTAGATTTAAATGACTCGAAATAAGCGTATCGAAGCACTGATTATAGAGATGGGCTGAACATTTAATCGTAACTGGATACACCAGCTGCTTTTAGTATTTAATAAATTGTGTCTTATTCAGAAAATCATTTAAGAACGCGTTGTAATAAATAGCTCCTCTCTCTTTTCCCTGAGGTACTACCTTTGTATTAGTTTTTCTAAAAACAAAAACAAATAAAGGTATTCAGCTTTCCTCGGATTGCAGGTTTACACGGTCAATACCTCACATGTTTAGAATATTTCATTTGTTTTTCTTAAAAAAAATCCGAATACCCGCAAAACAAATATACACAAAAAAAAGACACGAAAAAAGACACTCTACTATAAACATTGACATCTTTATTTCAAAAGAAAAGCAGAAAGAATCTTGTGATAAAAGTCCTGTAAAAGAAAAGAAAAATAAAGAAGAGAAAAAAAAAACAAAGAGTTAGGTAAAACGTTCTTTTCTAGTAAAAAAAAAAAAAAAAAAATGTTTGTTTGTCAAGAAGGGCTCATAGATCTTGGTGATATTTATTGACTTCATGCTTTTACTTCAGAAGTAGCAAATATGTCTATAATCCTCGCCCGTCTTTGCCAACCAAACACTCGATTGTCGTCATCGTCAGTACTTTACCTTTTTACTGATTCTTTTTTTACGAGTTTACAAAGGTAACAAAGAAAAAAAGAAGGCGAAGGGAAACTTTTGCTCTTTATAAGATGAAAAAAATTCGTTCCCCTATCTCTCCCCCCATAAAAAGCGGAGACAAGCAGTCATCCGCGCGTGACAGCGTTTCTTTTTCCAGTCTTTTCCGTGTCTTTATCAGAGTGAGCTTGAAGGTGTAGAAGCAAAGGAGAATAGACATTTATTCAAGAAAGTACTCACATTTATATACACAATATATATGCACAAGTGTAGCAAAGTCAACAAAGCAGACGCGATTGCTCGGTAAAGTATTCTGACTCAGCGGTGGCTTTGTTGTTTTTTTCTTTTTTGTAACTTTTGGTGCCTTTTTGTGAGAGGATTTGTTTGCAGTTGTGTTTTCAATGTCTTTTTGGTTTTTTCTGTGGTTATTTATGATATGCACTTGTTTTTATTGAGCTAGTGTCTTTGTTTTTTGTGTGTGTTATCCTTGGCTTTTATGCTGTTTCTTTTCTACGCTTTTTTTCTTTCCTTTGCATTTTATCGTTGTTTTCTTCTATTGTTTGTTAATGAATGCCGTTTGTCCATTAGAATCATTGTCTGTCTTTTTTTATTTTATGTTACACGCTCTGTGTTTTTACAGCTTCTTTTGCCGGCCTTTCTGTCTTTGAGATGTTTTGGGCTTTTTCAAAAAGAAAAAAACAACAAAGCCACCGCTGAGTCAGAATACTTTACCGAGCAATCGCGTCTGCTTTGTTGACTTTGCTACACTTGTGCATATATATTGTGTATATAAATGTGAGTACTTTCTTGAATAAATGTCTATTCTCCTTTGCTTCTACACCTTCAAGCTCACTCTGATAAAGACACGGAAAAGACTGGAAAAAGAAACGCTGTCACGCGCGGATGACTGCTTGTCTCCGCTTTTTATGGGGGGAGAGATAGGGGAACGAATTTTTTTCATCTTATAAAGAGCAAAAGTTTCCCTTCGCCTTCTTTTTTTCTTTGTTACCTTTGTAAACTCGTAAAAAAAGAATCAGTAAAAAGGTAAAGTACTGACGATGACGACAATCGAGTGTTTGGTTGGCAAAGACGGGCGAGGATTATAGACATATTTGCTACTTCTGAAGTAAAAGCATGAAGTCAATAAATATCACCAAGATCTATGAGCCCTTCTTGACAAACAAACATTTTTTTTTTTTTTTTTTTACTAGAAAAGAACGTTTTACCTAACTCTTTGTTTTTTTTTTCTCTTCTTTATTTTTCTTTTCTTTTACAGGACTTTTATCACAAGATTCTTTCTGCTTTTCTTTTGAAATAAAGATGTCAATGTTTATAGTAGAGTGTCTTTTTTCGTGTCTTTTTTTCGTGTGTACAGTGATTCCAATAAGCAATGTCGCAGCCAATAAAAATCACTTTTTTGGCCAACGCTACATACACCAGAAAATAGGCTAATACTACGGGCGCTTCCTTGAGACGCTACATGTAGAGCCACTATACAACCTTACACTACCAAAGTCTCTATCTAACTTAAGGCAGTCCAGTCCACCCTCTATGATATAAAATACGAATATATCATAATTACACGTAAATGATCTTCGTTGACCAAACTGGCAACATAGAATTAGAAGAAACAAACCAAGATGACAACTTTATAAACCCATGTTTAGTTTGACACTGCAGGTTGAAAAGCTTTGTTGGATGGTATCATAGGTATTGGATAGAAATAGCGCCCATAGTATTAGTCTAACTTCTGGTGCATTTTCTGGTGCATATAGTGCTTCCCTTGTCAAAATCATTCAATGCGTGCTCACGGATTTTTACAGCAACATTCATCATCAACCAAAGTTCGAACGCACATTCTGGATAAGTCGAGTTATTTCCATGTTTCAAGCGCTTGGTGATCATAGTCAACTCTTAGGCTTTCGATGGTATGAAATTCTAACTGAAGAGCACATGGAGTTTACTCTTGATCCTTGTATGTGGAAACATAACGCTGCGAATAAATACCATGATGGTATGGACTATGACGATAACAATCGCAATCGACTGGTAATGGAAGGACCGAGCAGGTATAATGACAAGGAAACTATTGAACACTCCAAAGACGATACAATCAAGATCACACATACTTCCATTGAACCTACTTGATACAGTTATAGGACGATATATTTTTGCATCACTTGCAAAGCTTTGTCGCATAAAACTTCTCTCCTTGCAATGCATTTGTACGACATTGCTTGTTGGAATCACTGTTTGTTTTGCGTGTGTAAAAATTCGATTATGTGTCATTCAATCAGGATCTTTGATTCGCTGTAAATCTGTGACTTTTTAAAATGTAAATCACCCAATGAAATTAAAGCTTGAATGAAGTTCCGCCTTTAATAACACACCCTGTTTTCTCTTTTCCTCTTTTTTTTTTTCTTCACATCTTATTTCTTTCTTTTTTTTTTTTTCCTTTTTAGCAAATGGAAATTGATGCCGAGCAATCTTTTAAGCAACCGTAAGCATTTGCTTAAAGTAAATAAAGTTGCATGTATTAATGTCTTTTTGTCTGTAGGCTTGAAGATTTCGAAGAGATTGATACGTCATTAAAAAAGCCTAAATTGGAATTGAAAGAGAATGTGTCTCTACTTGACCGTGGCAATGCGATTAAAAAGCAGGTAGGTAGTAAAACAATAAAGACGATAAGGCTCAAACTCACACTTTCTTTTGATAGCCACAGACACCTTCTACCACTAATATGACACGCGATCAAATAAAATATTGTGGAGCAATTATGAGGAATTTAAAGAAGCACAGAGATGCTGCCCCTTTTTTACAACCAGTTGATTACCTGAAATTAAATATACCTGATTACCCAAAGATTATCAAACATCCTATGGATCTTTCCACAATTGATAAAAAATTGAATTCAGGACAGTATGAAAATGTTGAGCAGTGGATTTATGATGTCAGACTTGTCTTCAATAATTGTTTTAAATTTAATGGACCTGAGGCTACCATATCTATGCTTTGTCAAAACGTTGAATCAGCTTTTGAAAAGAGTTTGAGGCAAATGCCTCCTAATAAGAATGTAAGTTTCTCTATTATTTATTTATTCTTTATTCAACCATAGCTTGTAGAGTAACGCGATATCAAGATCTGCTTCTCCTTATGTTGAATATGATGAAGATGACTTTGACGATGAAGGATCAGCCAAAAAAAAGAGAAAGAAGAATCCCAAATTGAATCGCCGTTTGTCCGATGATGGAAGACAGAAGCGAAAGGTCCATCCTCCTCCATCCAAAGATTATCCCGAATCAATCACCAAAAGACGTAATCCAAGAAAGAATGACATACAAATGAAATTCTGTGCTCAAACGTTAAAGGAATTGAAAAAGAGCAAGTATAGAGATATCAATTACCCATTCTTACAGCCTGTGGACGTCGTTGCCCTCAATATTCCTGATTATGTAGAAATTATTAAGCACCCTATGGACTTATCGACTATTGAAAAGAAATTGAATGATGGAGAATATGATGAACCCGAGGATTTTGAAAAGGATATTAAACTTATGTTTAACAACTGCTACACCTACAACCCTCCTTCCTTACCTGTACACAAAATGGGACGTCAGTTAGAAAAGGCTTTTGATGAGAAATGGGCTCAGAGACCACCAAAAACAGAGCCTGCACCGTTGATTGATGATGCTCCCGAAGAAGAGTTTGATGAAGTGGTTGAAGATGATGATTCAGAGGATGGTAAGTCTATATTAGGAGTCTGTGAATAGTATGTACTGAGAACGTATAGAACGGGATCAAAAGATTGCAGAATTGGAACGTCATATTGCTACCATCTCTCAACAAATTGCTTCTATCAAATCACAAAAGAGAAAGAGAGCAGCAGAAAAAGCTCGTAGGGTTAGCGGTTCAAATAAGGCAATAAAAGAAAAGAAACCAGTCAAGGAAAAGAGAAGACGACCTAGCACAGCCAACAGAAAGAAGGAATCAAAACATAAAACTGTAGATGAACTACCTGAGTTCACATTTGATCAAAAGAAGGATCTCAGTGAGCGTATTAACAACTTGACAGGTGATAAACTGAACACAGTGGTCGGCATTATTCAAAGCTCTATGCCAAACTTGGATGGGGTAAGTTCAGTTACGGATGACAACATATGACGCTAATCTTGTCTATACATGTATAGCAAGGACAAGAAGAGATCGTTTTGGATATTGACTCACTTGACAGAAGTACTCTGCACAGGTTGCATGAGTTTGTGACAGGAGAGAGTTTACTGAAGCATCATCATAAAAAGTCATCCTCACCGCTAACTAAAAAACAAAGAACTCATTATTCTGGACAAGGAGACCGTAAGTACTGATATCTCCAAGGAGGCTACCTTTCTTTACTCACCTCTCAATAGATTCCTCAAGTGAAAGCGGGGAATCAGAAAGCGAGTCTGGCTCTGACTCTGATGATTCTGGCAGTAGTTCAGACTGATTAGATGTGTAGATACCAAATAACAAACCAATAAACCTTTTTTTTAAAAAAAAAATAAAATAAAATAAAAGATCATTTCTTTCTTTAGAAAAGCTTAAAAAGAAAGAAGAGAGGGGTAAAGAAAAGAATGGGTTTAAAAGGTTTCGTCATCATCATATTCTACAGAAGCGGCCTTGTTATTTGCTTCCTCTTCTTCAGGTGGAACTTCGAATCCCTCCTAAAGAATATGTTATTGATCCCCTTCTTCTTTTTATATAGAATGTCTTACCTCTGTACTGTACAAAATGTTTTGGATATTTTGTAAAATGGGAATAGCCTCGTGTTCAGTTTTACCGGTATCTGCTAATGTCAATTCGATACTCTCCAAGTTTTCTTGAACCTCAATTTCGATTTCACGCAATTTTCCGAAGTAGAAATCACGTTCCTTTTCGAGACCGTCTACAGTCAACTTGAGTTCTGCGATTTGTTTATTGAGGTCGATGATAGTCTGGGCTGAATGGCTGTCTAATACGCTTGCACGTCCACCTCGACTTGCACTGCGCGAAGCTATAGAAAGAAAAAATGTAAGACAAAGTATATGCTTATCTTGTGTCTTCTTTACCAGGAGTCTTTGTTGCCTTCTTGCTTGCAGCACTGACACGGCCACTTGATGTCGTGCTACCCGCTGAGGACAACTTGGGAGCTGTTGCCACACTAGGAGCGCCCTTTTCGCGACGAGCCAAAGCGTCATATTCTCCTCCAGGGTAGTTTTGATCCCAAAACCGTTTGACCCATTGCATAAATTCTAAATTATCTTGAAGCTTACATTTAACTAAACGATCAACGGGTATAATCTAGTAGATGATTAAGCCTCTTCTGTTCAATTAGAAAAAATAAGCAGGGGAGGGGACATTACCTTGTCTATCCTATTATATATAAAAAAGGATTAACATTGCACTTGGTTTTATATTTTACCCTTTTCTTACTTGTGTTTCTTAAAGACACTTTGTAAAATTTTAAAGTTGTTTACAAATTCGTATTCAAGCTTTGCTTCAAACTTTACTTTGTGAACAGGAACATCACCTGAATGAAGAAGAAAAAAAAGGGTCAATAGGATATGAGAATACAGGATGAGGTGTCTTTTTCATACCAAAGATTGAGTCAAAGATTTGACAGTAAGCAGCGCCTTTAAAGAAAGTTTATCAATACTTGATGTACACTTTAATGATTACTTTACCTGTTCCTGCTTGCTCAACTTTGGTGTATCGTGTTTGTAAAAGTTCATTAAGCCAAGCTAATAATTCAATACGAGATTCAGCCATTTTGGTTTAATTAGAAGAAAGAAGAAAAAAAAGACACGTGTTTTATTTAAGCTGAGTCTTTTCAAAAAAAAAAAATCTTGAAGGAGGGTTACTGTTTGACCCTGAGGGAAAGCAAGAAGGGAGGAAAAGCTTTAGGGCTGACTTTTAATTAGAAAAATGCTTGCAAGATAAAGCAAGACAAATTATTCGCACACATTACAAGATCAATAACAACCAGCACTTCAGTTGATTTTCTATGTTTCCTTTATTGTTTAAAAGACAGCATTTAATAATATATAAAACGAGCTTGATATTTGAGAGATACATAAAATAAATGTGGTCAACACTGATAAATAACACGTAATTGAAAAAGTTGTTAGAGGCTGTTTGGGATAATGGAAATATGTAGTGTAGAATAGGAAAAAGACAGAGGTACTGTTGGAACTGTGTATATCCTTTTATAGGAAAAGATATAACAAAAATATGATTCTTTTATTGATATGAAAATCGTCCTCTATTTATACTTTTTCTTCAACGGGTAAACCGGGTTATCCTGGAACAATTAATAATCCTTTTTTCATAGATAATGCTAACGATCAATTCGCCTGAAGTATCTTTCTGTTTGCTCCTGACCTTATGGGATCATTAAATGTACCTGCCTTACTAGATCGGATATAAAAGTTCTCCAAACGGAGATAACAATAGCAATTAGGGTCCAACGCTAACCAATTTGGCCCTGAGCAGTGCAATTGGATCTGAATCAAATCACACCATAACCTAGCAACGTTTGTCAAGCAAATATTATTTATCCAGTGCGCAGTAACAGGTAGTATGTTCTTATTGGCTACATCAGCTATTATGTGCCAAAGAAGTGTACAATTGAATACAATAAAATCTAACCAAGGCTACGCAGTCCTGAATTGGGATTAATGCATTGAATCTCAGGTTATGCTTAACATGACTATAATTGTTCTATGTTTTGCTATAATCCTTAAGTATCCGCAACAGAGACTTCATATAAATAGTTTGATCTTGACTTCTTTTTCTTTTCTTTTGTTCTTTGGACCAAAAGTAAGACCAGCTATTCCCCAGTTAGCCTTAAGGTGTGTTATATTCTTTACTCTTGTAAGAAACTGACGTGTAGTAGTATAGATTGTAACCGAAACTAACCCAGTGTTGGCTGGGGATAGTTTGGTTCTTACCAAACTTTGGTCCCATACACTCCTTCAATCTCTTCCGCTCCTTTGGCTGCTCTCTATGCTCTCTCATGTTCTTTATGTCTGCTTCTTTTTTTCTTTATGCTTCCGGGCTGGTTATCACCAACCCAATCCAGGATACACTTCGGGTAAGACATTGATTATTTATAAGTTTACTCACTTTTCTTGTTTCTCTTTCTATTATAAATCCTCTTCTTTATAATGTAAGTATATAATATCAATGTAAATAAGCGATTTACTAATCATTTCTTTTTACATCTCATTTCTTTTACTTCTTGTAGGCTCCCTTTTATCATTATTTGTTGTCTGAAATTATCATTTTTTTTTATCAGTGTGCGAATAATTTGTAATGACCCCAGTTCTCGGCAATTGACGTTTCAAGACAAGCAAAGTGTTTCTAATTAAATACTTCTAGTTTCAGAACACTATCCAAAATGAAATATGAACATTCGACAAGAGTGAACTTAATCCGTTTGCCTTTTATATTCACAATAAATGTTGAATAAACATATCTCCTTTAGCAGTTTCTTAAAGTCAACCAATACATACAGTTAACTTTGGTACTCAGTTTATAAACGATGCTCCGTTGTGTCATGTTTAAGATTCCGTAAACCGAAAGTACGCTGGATACACTGTCAAACTTTAATCACGATATGAACAATTGCACAATTAGAAATCAGTTTTTATTTATTGAACGCAACTTTTCATAAAAGAATCGCTCTAGTTTTACTCCACACTTTGCATATTCTGTGTCTTCTGCATTATATGTCTTGCAGTTATCAAATATCTTTTGAGTATCTTTAATAAAGTCTTCCAGGGTAGGATAACTATCCGCTTTGACATTTTCTTCCAGTGTAGTCAGATCTAATTCAAAGTTAGCTCCATCAATATAGCATATATACACATATATATATCTACCCATAGGTTCTTTGATAATCTCATAATAGTCTGCAACTTCCTCTGCATCCACTGGTTCCAAGAATGGCCAAGCCTCCGTATAATTTCGCATCTCTTCTACTAAATACAACATTTCACGATAATGAGGAACATGTCTTGGCTTATTTGATCTATATATAACGCATCATATAAATATATGTTTATATTGATATATAAAAGTAAAACTATGACTTACAGCATATCCATCTCAGGTGTCCATCCAGACTCTTCTATACCAGGTACATCATATGGATCAATCGATTCTCCTTTGGGTATATTAACTCCTGGGTACACTACATGCTCTGTGGACCGTTCTTTAATCTTCTTTAGTATGGCATTCCGCTGTATGCTTAATATTTCATGGATTGCCAGATACTTCACTCGTGGCAAAATGCTACACTGCATGATTGTACCCCCTTCATAATCCTTAATATAACCAATCCATTTTCGCTTGTCAAGAGTAATCTCTGTTGTAAACCCTTGTTTACGAAAATAACCTATAGCAAAGTTGTCCGCATAGGTCAGAAAATGCTTTACGTTGGAATGATCTATCACGTAATCTTTAAGATGGTTCATAATGAATGATCCATATCCCTGTTTGTCATTAATGAACTGCCAATGGGCCACCCTTGTTTATTACTTTACCTTGACTTGCTCTGTTGATGCAATGGCACAAAAAACAATTTCAGCAAACTCCTGTGCGTCAAAGGGTCGGTAACATATGCCACCGATCACTTTATTTGGGTTGCGAATAAGAGCAAGACTACGGTGATTTCGGTCATACACAAGTCTAGCAATATACTCTTTAGGCATCTTGGGCAACTGCTTTTGAAATACATTCTTTAGGCCTGTCAAGAGGATCATACTTTCGCGCGCTCCATCGTTGAGTACGACCTGTACTCGGATGCTTCCTTCCCTTTCTTCCTTCATTGCCACTGACTCCTTTATCGATCCGGGCTAAAGAACTTGTGGGTTAGCTATCAACAACAAGAAGATGACTTTTGGGGACATATTACAAGAAATTCTTGCAATTTTGGATCTGAAGCAAAGATGCTCTGGTATACATCTTCTTGAAAGGACTTTTCATCTATGCCTGAGCTATCATTGTTATTTACAAACGCGTCATGCCCGGGAATATCCGTCGATGGTTCACTGACTTCATCTAAATTATGCAATCCGACAGTATGCTTCTCTTCCTCGGCTATTTCTTCTTCTTCTTCAGAGAGTTCCTCATCTCCGGAATGATCTACAAACTCCCCTTCATCATCCACAACAGGCGGCTGATTCACTAATTTCTTACTTCGTTTTGCAAACTGTTGTTCCTTATCATCTGGATCTCTATTTCTCTTTATTCCTACAATATCGTGTTCAACCATACATCTTTATATGAATACGTTCCTCTTTACCATGCTCATGTTGCTCCTTTTCATTATTCTTAAGTGACGCGTTATACAAGATCTGTCTACATGTTTTTAATAGGTTTGTCTATGCTTCTTTATTTGTATAATTTACTTTTTAAGAGAAAGTATATCATCATCCTCATATGCATAGTCTTTTGCTTTTCCTTTTTCCTATAAAGCAAAAAGTTGAGCTTGTCTATTGATGATATTTCATATTTACTTCCAACAGCTCAACCAGCCTTAGAGCGACCTTTGAGCGTCTTTGAAGGTCATGTCCTTGATCAGTATGGTTTAAGATATCATGCCCACACTGACAAATGTCTTTTGTGTTTATGTCGGTGTGCCATCCCTTACATGATGAACATTGATCGCACGGTATAAACCTTGCAATCAGCTTATACTTTTGTTCGTCGCTCATCTCTGCTAACTGAGGAAATAAAGGTGAAGATGTGGCCATCTTGACATAAATAACAATCCGTAAAGAAAACAAAATGGGTAATAAAATAACAAAAATAAATAAATAAATACGAATTAATAAAAAAATGAAGTTGGTTTCAAAAGAAGTGTTTCTCTTTTATGAAATATGTTATTTGTAGTACTTGTTTTTTTGCTTTTCAATATCGTTATCTTGGACCTAAACAAAAAGGACTATTGCCATAGCAGCATGTCTAGTTTATGCAAACAGATGGAAGCTACCACGCTTATTGGCCGGACTCTTCATCATGTATTTTATGAACATCGAAATGAATGATTTATTGATGATAAAAGAAGACAGGCTTTAATCAATTATTAATTGATACATGCATATATCGTACAGTTTCCCCTACTTCTTCGCTTCAGACTTTACGTTAGACTTTGATTCGGCGGTATCATGTGTGGATCCTGCAGAGGCTAGAGAAGAAGTAAGGTCCGGCGCCTTCTTTAACTCATTTTCTGTATACTGCCTCGATTCTGATTTTATACCTTTACCACCACCACTGGTCGTTTTGCTGCTTGCCCCCTTTTCTGATTCACTTATCTTCTTATACCACTCTTCCTCTGTTTGACCCTGTAAAAACGCAATAATTTCTACTGTCATATTGTCGCAGCCTACACCTGTCGTGCCTGACTGATCTGCGAGGCAATGATCCATAAGTTTTTCGCAGATTGTTTCTAAAGGAGCATGCTCTGCAATCTGTTGACGTACAAATGAGGCTACTTCTTGATTCGTCATACAATCCCAAATGCCATCGCAGGCTAGGACCATAAATTCATCCTTTTCTGTAATCTTGTGCTTTGTAATATCAGGATCGGCTGTTCATAGGGAACATAAATATAAGTTATGGTCTTTGTAATGTATTCATTTCTTTACCTGTTACCACCTGTTGCTCTGGTGGTAGATTTGTTGCAGATTTGAATTCAAAATCACCCAAAGCTCTTGATAATGCCAAGTTACCTTTAAGTTGAGTCAGTACACTGATTTCAAGTTTCATTCTTATTTACCATTCACTCTTCCAAATTCAACATGACCACCTGCTTTTTCAATACGGGCTGTCTCTTTTGGGTTACTTGGTTTATGATCATCGGATAAAGCAATAGCTCTTCCGTTTGTGCAAATGATTGCGCGAGAATCACCTGCATTGCCCTAACCAGCGTATGTCAAAAAGGATATATATAGTGTGATGAGAGAAAACTTACGATATAAAGCATATTATCTTTTGTCAATAAAGCAACGATAGCCGTACATCCTGAGGGATCGTGCTGTAATTCAGGATCTATGGTGGTCGCAAATAAGTATGACGCATATGATGAGCTATTTTGGTTATTTACCTTTACGTAAATCTGAATCTATCTTCAAGAAACCTTCCTTTAAGCTCTCTTTGATATCTCCTTTTTTAAATGCTTCAGATTCAATCACATTAGCAGGCAAATGCTGACTGCTGTACTTTGCTACTTTGTCTCCTACAGAATGTAAATGTAAATAAATACATAAATAATGCATTTCTGTGTACCTCCATGACCATCAAAGACCGCAAAAAATGCAGTTCCTGTGTTTTCGTAGTTAAGAATGGTTGTATGAGCATCCTCCATAGCTATCAAATCAAGTTTAATAAATAAATACGTCATCAATATTTATTTTCTTACTTATTCTCCAGCCTTGCATAGAAGAGGCACCATAAATCAAACGTTCGTCCTTTCCAGACGTGCTATGCTTTGTCGTAACGGGCTCTGAAAGTATTTGCCCCATGTCTCCACCTTTGAAAGTTGTAAACAATGTATTATTTTAGAGCTTTAAAGTGATTTTTTATCTGGCCTTGGTTGAACTTTTTTGTCTTCAAGCACACGCCACAAAAAATAAAAGTAAAATAAAAAAAAAGGTCGAGAAAAAGAGAAAGGGCTGTAGGGAATTTTGTTTAAATGAAAGCAGAATGATTTCACAAAGCAAGTAATTAAAATTCCGCTTAAGGACCTTTTGAGTGCCAATCAGAATCAATTGAATAAAATGACAAAAAAGGAATGCTCTTTTGTCACTGATCATCAACGGATAAAGTTACATCAAATTGTCGTATCTCTAAATGATAAAGTTAACGGAAGGGACACAAAAGATATGGTACTCTCAATCTTTAAAGACTCTACCAATTATATTTGTACACATACAGAAAGGAAAACATTGTCTTGCAAGTCTTGAAAAAGATAAACAGATATGATGTTTATTTTTACACTATTTCCAATAAATAAAGCGTGGTTCGTAGAGTTAATACCGCATCTGAAGTTCGTCTTGAGTCAATGTTGGCAGCATCATCTAAAATAACTTTGAATGATGGGAATTCCAGAATAATCTTGGAGATTTTGACTTATAAATTTACCCTTAACCATATACAACTTGCGATAACGGATTCTCTCCATATTATTGTTTTTTATTGATTTTCTTGACGGTTCTGCTGGCATAAAAGGGAGCCTTTTTAAACATCACGATGTGGATGAGTGAACCGTCTTATTGTCGAACTTTTCAGTATATTTCCATAATAATGACAATATCTTTCTCTGCTCATACATATTTCGTCATTATATAGATATAGAGGCACGCACACATCGTTCAAAAATCGAACAATTTGGTGAGAAGTCATGTTATCAGATCCTATTGAGGACACTCTGTAAAGACAGATTAGTTATTGGCTATTAAGCCAGAAAATAATAAAGGGAAGAAATGCTGCTAAAAGATACTTTACAAAATAAATAAACAAACTCGGAAAATGAGAGAATTTTGTTTATTTTTTGTTTTGGAATTGGGTTTTCTATTACCACCTGTGATAATGATCACCCTCTTGAGAAAGGCGTCAAGCAATAATTTCCAAATATGACAAGTTGGATATAGAGAAACGACAATTTAATATGAAACATGTCCATATTTCACCACTCCAACGCTTTGTGGCATTTACTTGGTTTAGATCGAACTTCAAATATACCTCGAACAAGATCCTCAATCACTTTATTATCCTCCAAGGTGTTATCTACAATGTCTTTACAGTAGCATGGCGTCACTCTTCCATACCAAATGGCTCGTTGTCCATGGTGTGTATAAATAACCACGTTACCTGCAAACGCATGACCTTTTTATTACGATTAGCAATTATCTAGTCTCGGACTATCTAAACACTTACCTCCCAAGTGACTTGACAGCGCAATCTGCACATGATTCCCTTCTTCATCCTGGCTAGCTGCCTGCTGTAATGATTTTTGAAGCATTGGCCCTATCGTACCACATCGTCGATCCTTATTCCCATGTCCACAAACCAATACAAGGCTTGAGTATGGGCAAGGATATACTGAGAATGCTTGAGAACATGGCTTACCAAAGATATAGTCCAACAAGGCATTCACTCTTCTAGGCGTAATGTTGGAAAAGATGACATTATCTGGCAGCAAGAGAACATCTGTACCTTTATGCTGGTATGAGTACTTTGATGGAAGTGATGCATTGGTCACAATGATTCGGTGGCAATCGTCTTTTTCAGAAGATGCATAAAATGCAGGATGGTATCTGCTCTCAGGTGGCCTCATTTTATCATTTTCCTTTCGTTTCCGAATAGCTTCGATGAAAGCACCAGCCAAGCCTTCGTCCTCAATGTGAGCAGGCCAATTAGATTTCCCTGTCATTATAATGATATGTATCGAGTAAGGGGGTACTGTATTCTTTAATGGTTTGGATTGATCTATGTTGAGATGGGGAGGAACATTTGGATGTGCACAAGGTTTGGAACATCCTTTGCAGTCAATGGGTATAATAGGTGATAATGGCTCTGGATTTATGGATGGTAAAACAGTTGCTGTGGATACTTCATTTGTGCATGACGATGAATATAGACTTGCTAGGCAATTAGTGATCCATTTCATTTTTATTTTCAAGGGAAAGAAAAAGAAATTAAAAAGGCACAAAGGGATTAATGTTAACCATTTGATTTAAAGTCCGTTATCAGATTTTGTCACAAAACTTGGCGAGTTCGATGTCTCGCTTGGATAAACCTTGACAGTCATGTGTGCTCAAAGTGACTTGAACACGATTATAAACCTACTGATATGTGAGTCCAAAAGAAACGCTCAGGTCACATGCACACTTACATTAAACCATTCTGGATGATGATCCATTTTGTCAGCTTTCAAGGCTACACGTGTCATAAATCCAAATGCTTCATTAAAGTCATTAAAGGTATATTCTTTAATAATAGCATCCCTATTGTCAACCAACTTCCATCCAGAGGAAATCAAAGGCGTTAAAAAAATGTCTCTTTCACCTTGAGACAGTCTGGCGGCCGCTTTGGTTGATAACGAGCGAAAACAGAAAAGTGACATCATTGACTTTGTTGGGTGAGCCGTTCTCTATTTATGAAAATAGACAAAGAAGGTTTGTCTAAAAAAATTTTTTTTTCTATTTAAGAATGTAAAGCCAATACGGTTTATTTGTTGGTTCTCTGCCCTTCGCTCCACAAAAAGGAGACTGTACACTATTTCGGGAAATATATTGCACAGGCACAGAAAGCCTTTGCACACGCATAGAAAATCCAGATTGCATGAATGAAGCTTCTAGATTGCACACTAGATGAACTTGCTCTGCACATATACAAAACAAAATGATATCTAATTGCATAATTGTGCAATCTTTTACAAATGCAACTTTGAATTTGAGCAACAGCAGAATCCTTAAAGATCCTTTAAATAGATATTGTTGCAAGTATAAGCTATTCTTATAGCTATGGCTTCCCCCTTTCAATAGTTTTATTTTCTTTTTTCATCCAAAGTTGGCTATAGACCAAAACTGCTCAATTAGATTAAGCTCTGGAGATTATAGTAGAAGATATACGTATCCATATCCATGACTTACAGTTTAACTTTACAATTTGATCTGAATTGTGTATAGAAACATCATTCATGATCATATAGTGTCCTTTAAGCTGTTCATGGTGGTTCAACACATCTAGGGTAGCAGAAATGAATTTAAAATAATGATTAAGAGCAGCTTTTCTATTATCATCTTTGTCTTTGGCTTTCCTTTTATTGAAACTCTCTTCATAAAGCACTCTCACCCTGATGTTGACGATGCCATGTCAAAAGACTGTTTCTAATATAGCTGTAGTTTTGGCTCTTCAGGTAATATATTTTAAATTTGTCACTAGTCGAACAGGACACATCTGAGGAGCGTCTACAAGGAGTATTTCATTTCAAGTTTTTTCTGATTATACGATTGACGAGTAAATAGCAACTCAGTCAACATGTATTTAAGATGAGTGAAAGGTCATAAATGTGTTTATTGTATACATAACAAAGATTAGATTTTAGTGTTCAGTAGTTCTGATTTAGTTTGTCTGAATTATGTACCAACATTGGATCTGTTTGTTGCTGTATCAGCCATATTTTGCATTTCGTTTGACTGACCTTTATTTAAGGTGATCACTATATGCACCAGAAGTTAGGCTAATTCTACGGGCGTTACCTTTACCCAATTCCATTTGTTGTCGTCAACAATGCTTTCTAATGTATGATACCACGCAAGGCTTGCTCAGGAACAGATATATTTACATATTCTTTGATGTAGAATACGAATTTATAATGTTTGTTTCTTTTCAGGAAGAAAAGAGATAAAACAGATATGTTGTCAGTTCTATCAACAAAGATCACTTAGCTCACATGTAAATATGGTAAATTCGTATTTACATTATTTAGCTTATTTTTGGTGCATGTAGTATTGGCCTTGTTTAACAAGAATTCCAGCAAACTGCCTCATTGGAACTTAGGTAGTCTACAAACATAAAACATTCTAGTGTTTGCGATGAATTGATTGAGTCTTGTAACCAGTCCTTATGCCTGTAATCTTCCTTTAGATGTCTAACTGAGAGTTTTAGCATTTACGAATGCGATGATGTATATATTTTAACCTTCTTGAAGGAATCAATACCTTATGACAAGAAGAAAACTAAAGAATATTTGCCATAGATCGACATTACTTAAATTGGCAAGTACCAGGGCATTCAGTTGAAAAGCATCAAATTATGCAAGCTTCTTATGGCATGCAAGATAAACATTTTATTTAAAAGTGGCGCTCTTGAAATGATATTTTTACACTCAAATTATCAACTGAAACGAATACTGAAAATCTTGTAAGTCTAAGTGCATGCAAACTAACCTCATTAACATAGCTTTTTTTGCTCCTACAAGCGTACTTTTCATGCTCTAAAGCTTCTTTAAGCAAATTAAATACAATTCTGACTAAAATAAAAATAGACTTGAGTATTATCTTGTGTAATAAACAATTAAATGACAGCTACTTCTTCGCTAAGCACTTTGTTGTAAACAAAATAAAACTTTAACCAGAAACGTACAATCAGCTCGGTGGATTACGCTTTAACAAAGTAGAGGTGATGATTATTTCATTTCAATTTCGTTGTTATACTATAAAGTTGCTCTACAAGACGAAGTACGCCACTGAATTATGCGCCACATTCAGGTTATGATAGTCCATTATGAACACTTTATAAACTTTAGGGAATGATTTGTGTAATGTCTTTACATGAAATAGGGTTCAAAGTTTCGGATATAGAGTCAAAACATTGTAATTTCTTTTAGACATTTAATCATAAATCATAACAAGCCAACAACGCGGCCAAAATAAAGTACTACTACTATTATTATTTCTCTTCTTTACTGGTTTTTATATATATCTATTTGCTTATGGCCCTGACATATTTCTATAAAAGTGTACCCGATATTCAAAAGAATAAAATTTATTTTATTTTGACGTCTCAAGAATTCAATAACTGCATGGATACACAGAAACTGTCTGACTTGTTGCTGAAGGCACAAAAGAAAGAGAAATACGTCCTTTTGAACTTTCTTTTTCTTTACTTTTTCCTTTCTTTTTTTTTTAACTTTACTTTACTTTGTTAATCTCGGCCTTTCTCTTTTTTTTTTTATGTCATGTCGAGATTAGGAAAGTCGAAATCAAGTATAGAAGAGAAACAAGTATTTCGCTATGAAGCGCCTTGGCCAATTTATGCTATGGATTGGAGCAACAAAGAGTTTAATGGACACAGACTGGCCATAGGTAGTTTTCTCGAAGATGCAGAAAATAAGGTTCGCATACAATTTAAAAGAAAAAAAGAAAAAAAAAACATTAGATATAACATACAGACTTTTTAGCTTCAAATCATTACTCGTGCAGGACAAACAAAACAATATGCAACAAGAAATCAACCTGACTTTGTTGTGCTGGCTGAAACGAGTTGCTATTATCCAATTACCAAAGTACTATGGACACCTGTCAAAGTCAGTTTTTGTTTGTTATTTATGATATACGCTTCTAAAGTGCTAATAGGAAAGAAGAGAGAGTGACCTTATTGTTACCTCATCGGATCAATTGAGGGTCTACGAACTCATCGATACAAGCCGTGGACACTCGATCGTAAGAAGGAGAGAACTGGCACATGTGAGTTACAAGCGTTTAGAAAGGAACAAACATTTATCTATTTTAGGTGAAACAAAACGACTTTTGTGCACCGATCACTTCATTCGATTGGAATAAAGTAGATACATCACTTGTTGTCACATCAAGTATTGACACGACTTGTACCGTTTGGAATATCGAAACAGGTCAAGCAACAACCCAACTTATAGCTCATGATAGAGATGTCTATGACGTAGCATTCATGCATCAGAGCCCCGATATGTTTGCCAGTGTGGGTGCTGATGGTACAATAAGACTATTTGATCTAAGGTAAATTCCGGATGACCATGGTTTACAATTAGATATAATCTATACAATTAGGGCCTTGGAAAACTCGACAATCGTATATGAGTCACCACCAATTCATAATCAAAAGTTTGCATCAGCCATCAGTAACGGTTCACAGCCTCTACTGCGTATCGAGTTCAATCACTGTAATCCAAATCTATTAGCCACCTTTTCAATGGATTCAGATTCAATTAAAATACTAGATATCCGATACCCAACTGCTCCTGTCATCGAACTAATGCACAAGAGCATCGTTAACTGTTTTAACTGGGCGCCCAATAGCCCAGATAGAATCGTCTCTGGAGGTAACAATAATATCTACAGTCTTTATTGATGTATATACATCATACTTTACTTTAGGAGACGATCAGCAAATACAGATATGGGATACAGTTGAATACTATAATCAGCGACACAGTGAAACCTTTGTGATCAATAAACCGCAGCTAAACTATACGGCGCCCGAAGAGATTCACTGCATCAGGTGGAATACAGCAATACCAAACTGGATAGCGATTGGATTCGGAAGAACGGTACAAACGGTCCATATCTGATATTTATTTATAATAAAAATGGCTTAAATAAGATTCTACAGCTGAGTCTACACTAATGTCAACATACGACTGACACATTGACTTGATGATTGTCTTAACAGATCCAGACAGGTTTATGTCCACATTAACCTGTAGTTTCATTAGGCCTGGGATATTGAGGGCCAGATGTCGAATATGTGTTTCGATATGAGTGTCTATATATAAATGTAGTGCCTTTTCTATGTCGGGTAATGCTTCATGAATCTGAGAACGAGCTAACGTCTCTGCTTGGGTCATGACACGTCTCAGTTGACGCCTGTTTTTTGGCATAAAGGGCATCAGCTGCATCACCTTTGGTAAAGAAATAACCTTGCCCAATGCTGCTTCTAATGCATTCGATAAGCGTACTGTAAGAACGAAATAAGTCAGAGCTTTGGTGCAAGTTTTCTTGTTTATTTACCTTCAAGCCCACTTATTGCTGCTGTCTGGATAGCATCGATATGGCGTTGTTGGATCTGAGCCATACCTTGGGATGTCTCGAGTTGGACAGACACATGGGTCTTCATTGTTTGGGTGATCTACATGCGTCCATGTGAACAATGGTACTCACTATTGTCTACTTGTCACTTACAGATGCTGATATCTTAAAAACAAGATCAGACTGAATACGGGTCCTTATCTGAGAGGCAATCAGCTGCGCTAACGCTTGTTTATTGTTGATCTTGAGAGCAGTGGTAAGAGTGATGAGTAGCGATAAGAGAATGAGTATCCTCATGAGCTCGATCCTTGTTCTTTCTGTTCTTCCCCTTACAGATGAGTGCATATTTATATGGATTTATATGTGTATGATATTTAAGGAGCTTAATCTTTGCCACTCTATACATTAGCTTAACAGGAAGGTTTATTCCTCTTCTGCTCTCTTCTCCTTAAGACGACCCCCTTATAGCTTTTTCTTCTTCTATTCATTTTACCAAAGCTACTATCAAAATAAATCTTTGTCTTTTCTTTTTTTGATCTCTCTTTAGAGAGTTTATTCATTATGTAAGCTTAATCCTGTATAGCTTGATTAGATAATCTCTTTTCTTTTTGATCCTTTTCATATTTATTTTACACTTACTCCTTGTTTCTAACTTTTGTCCACCCTTATTTTTTTTTTGTAATACCACATGCAATAATAATGAAGGACGACCTATGAATTATTAACCAAACGATTCATGCAACAATAAGTGCATACGTACTTTTCTTTTTGCTTTTACAAGTTGCCATGTCCCCTCCCCCTGGTTGCCTTGAGATACGTTTCTATTTGGAATAACTCAAAATACTAGTTGTTATATGAAACTTTATATTGTATAGCAACGCACAGACACAATAGCCATAATAACAAACCAAAAAAACATATCCGAGATAACTTAATCCTCTTGTTCTTCTTTACTTGTCAGTGTCACAAGCTGATCTATACACCGTCTTTCTCAAGCTTATCCCTTGTTTTATCTGAGCCTACTAGTTCTAAAAGTTAACTCCCAGGTTGTGAAGCTAATAGCATTTGTCGCTATTTCCATCCTCAGGCAGAGAAAGATTACCATTGCACGCACTAATTCCTTTACTAAAGTCCTTCGTATTGTAAGTACAGGTATCTCGAACCTTAAACCACATGTAAAGCTAAAATTGAAGAAAAATAATAATCTCGTGTCAATGCTATAAGAAGAAGGTCGAACTATACCCTTTGTTTTTCTTTCTTCATTACCTTTTTTTTTCACTGTAAACCATTCATCAGGCCCATGGTAGATGTCAGTCAGTCATCTATCGGTATCAATTACTACTGTAGAAGCAGTACAAGTTGTTAAAGTTGAACGACGATCTTTTGGTGATAAAATCAAGACATCTTTTGATTTAATATTACTAAACTCGCATAGTGCGCAACGTAAGATCTGTTTTACCAAAGGCACTAGTAAGCTTCTTACGAACCAAGATTCATTGATGCGAATGGGCCTCCGTCCATAACTCAATTGGCTTACCATGTATTAAAAAACTTGTCTTTTGCCGAAGAGAGCAAAGGAAATTATTCATCTACAAAACCAAAATGCTTAATTCTCATTTTATTCATCAATAAGGGTTTTTGACTTACTGAGGCATTTGGGGTGGGCAAACATATTTTACTTTTAACCATTAGGATTAGTCCCTTTATTAACCGTCTTTTGCGTGCCGTGGTATATACTCTTAAAGCAGAATTACAATTCATCAGCTGCTTATGTTATTAGTCAACATATAAGTCAGTAATAAAAACGGCTCGAAAAAAATGATTAGTACACGATGTAGACGATCGTTCTTTTTTTTACAGGTCTTTCCGTTTAGAAACCTCATAGCTTAATAATTTAGACCCTATCTTGTACTATATTTATACCAAGCAAATATTGATTATTGATGATAAAGTGTAACCTATAACTCTTTTTTAGCAAGTCTGTCACAAGTAAATGAATCTATAGCCCTTGTTGGATGTTTCTATGATTTGTCAAACCTAGTACTTAATATCCTTCAGAAAGCTTGAACGTTTTGCTGTCTAAAACAGTCAATCATAATGTTCGTATTTTATCATTTTGGTTAGTGAATATGCTTAATGATCGCACTTTCTTGACCGTATTTGTGTGCTTTGCAATTGTTTTCTGTACTGTGAGCAAAAGTGTGAAAAGATTATTATATATATATCCACCGTGCGGCTGCCTTAAGAGCATGTCTAGTAGCTGTAAACAGAGAAATACAGAGTAACAAGCAATGAGCTGAATATATCAAAGATAGAAGCAGTTTCTGCTTCCGCTATCCTGTACCATTGTTTTTCTTTGCCTTACACTTATAACGTCCAGCGGGTATTGTGATCTCTTCTTCTTGCTTTCTTTGTGAAGTTGCTGCTGCTGTCTCGATGTGACGTTGTTGGATCTGAGCCATACCTTGGGATATCTCGAGTTGGACAGACACATGGGTCTTCATTGTTTGGGTGATCTACATGCGTCCATGTGAACAATGGTACTCACTATTGTCTACTTGTCACTTACAGATGCTGATATCTTAAAAACAAGATCAGACTGAATACGGGTCCTTATCTGAGAGGCAATCAGCTGCGCTAACGCTTGTTTATTGTTGATCTTGAGAGCAGTGGTAAGAGTGATGAGTAGCGATAAGAGAATGAGTATCCTCATGAGCTCGATCCTTGTTCTTTCTGTTCTTCCCCTTACAGATGAGTGCATATTTATATGGATTTATATGTGTATGATATTTAAGGAGCTTAATCTTTGCCACTCTATACATTAGCTTAACAGGCAAACGAAAGATTGTCTGCCCTCCTTAGGACACCCCTGCTCTTCTTTACAGCTATTACTAAACACGGCATAATGAATATGGGTTTATTTGTACTTACCGGAAACTTTTCCGTTTTAACTAAATGAATCTTTTTCTCTCGCTTTCTCGAATTGGCTCTCTTTCTCTCTTTATTTTTTTGCAAGTGTATTTGTTCATTATGTAAGTTTATGCGTGTGTGACATTTTTAAATGCGTTTTTTTGTCCGCGGTTTATATAAAATGGGATTTCACTTTTTCTTTTTCTTTTTTCTTTTCTTCTTTTAAACATTTGTTTTATTTATTCACTCCTTCTTTCTCTTCTCCTATCCTTTTGCACTTTTCTTATAAGCTTGTAACCTTATAATGGCAATACTCAGTGAAAATAGAAGACGATCCATTAGCGGAGCATCAGCACTACTAACTAGACGATTTACACGGCAAGCAACAACAAACAATAGTAAACCAGATATAGTAAGGAGAAGAGCCACTATTGCCATAAAACCACCCAAAGTCCATGTACGAATTGTACCTAGTATAGACAACCCTGGTCGAAGTTTAATATTTGATATTGTCGATCGAGACTTGGAATATGGAACAATAATCAAGATTGGGAGATACTCTGAGAGGAATCCCAACAATTCGGATTGCATGTCATTCAAGAGTAAAGTCGTCTCCAGATGTCACTGTGAAATTTTTGTTGAACAAGATGGGAAGGTATGTCAGTTGGAGTGATACAAGTAACTGATTTAGCATTAAAAAAAGTCTCCGTTTGGAACTTTAGTTATATATTCGTGATACAAAATCATCTTCCGGCACTTTTTTGAACCATATTCGTCTCAGTCCTGCAGGCCAAGAGAGTCAATCGGTTGAGATACATGATGGCGATCTTGTGCAGCTTGGTGTTGATTATCAAGGAGGAAGAGAAGAAATATATCGATCTGTCAGGATGAAGTTTGAGATCAACCATCGCCATAGACCGAGGCCGGTCTCTTTTAGCTTAACTGCTTTTCAAAATCTCCGGTCACTCACCACTTCATCGTCAACCGACTTGGACGAATGCTGCATCTGTCTGTACTCACTTGCCCCCTTTCAAGCTCTTTTTGTCGCACCTTGCTCACATACTTTTCATTTCAAGTGTATTCGCCCCTTATTTCAAAGTTACCCTGGCTTTCAATGCCCCATGTGCAGAACATATTCTGACCTCGAGGCAAGTGTGGATCATCAGGTCATTGAAGAAAATGATGGTCATGACACGATGTATCATCAGAACAATGACAACAACGACGAGTTCAATTTACAATCTTCTCCTATTTTCATACAATCAGATGACGTCGTTCCTCTTGAAAGTAACAACATCAATCGCATCTCGACTGCTGTCATGGATTCACCATCACACCAAGGTAAGTTGTATATTGCTTTACTCCCTCCCCATGATCTGACCTCTTTTTATAGACAACACCACAGATGGTCCTTCATTGGAGCCAATAGCAAGAGAAAGAAAAACGAGTTATATCATGGACAAGATAAAGACAGTATTATTTGAAAAAAGGAAAACAACAATGATATCTAGTATTTCAATAAAGCGAAGACACAGAAGAGAAAGGCCAATGTCGTTTCCAAATCTTGGAGGACCTTCTAATGTATTATCCCAACAACAATCTATCACTTAGCTTAATAAATTATACTCATCATTAATCTGCTTGACAAACAATTGCATAAAGTTATCTCGTTGAATAGCCAATTCCTTGCCTCTTTCTGTTCTCATCATCGTCTTGAGCTTGAATAACTTTTCATGAAAATGTGCAATAGAAGAGCCGTTTTTCTTGGTCATATAGATTTCCTTTGTCAAATTCTCGACTGCTTCGTTTTCATTAGGCACATACAACGGAATATTCTTAGCTCCACTAAAGGCTGCACATCGCATAATACCAAATGCACCAATAGCATCCAATTTATCAGCATCCTGAACACTATTGAAGATGTGTTACTTAATCGCGTACACACACATATATATACGCGCTTATCAAAAAAAAATTTCTTACGCGTGTAACTCTAGGCAACTGTTACGCCATTCGACCTCGTCCTTGGGATCTGTCGCATCGTTCCATCCAAGTTCCTTACTGAATCCAATATGATCTACAATCTTTGCAACAAGGCTGGCTTTTTCATAGTCATGTTCCCTTAAAAACTTTTCAATCAATTGGCCACCTGTCTCATTTCCTTTGTAGTATTTTCTGTCTCCCACGTCATGACATAAGGCAGCCAGTTCAACAACTTGAAGATCGACGTCACAAGCTTTACGTTGAATACAGTCTTTGGCAATATGAAGTGCTGCGCAAAGTCATGAGTTTATTTATAGAAATAAAGTAAGTAGAACTTACCTAAATCGACCACTCTATTAACATGATGCATATCATGTGATGAGTCAAAACTTGCCATGTATTCAGAGACCATAGCATAAGTCAGTTGCACGATGTTGCCATTGCTGTTTGACATGTTGAGAAAAGGAGAGAGAAAAGAGAGGGGAGAGAAGCGGAATTGAATTGAAGTAACCATTTTAAGTTGTGTGTGACAACATTAAATATTATCGCTCTTTTCTCTCTCTCTCTTTCTTTTTATTTTACAACAAGCCATGGATTATACTTATACCAATCCACAACATCATGAGGAAGCTAATAGAGGCTCAACAGAAGAATTTCCTCGAAGTGTACTGGATAGAGCCACAGCTGCAAAATTACGCTTGGAGAACTATTATAAAACCGCTCTTGAACAAGCTCATGAAAGAAACCAAAGGTTGAACCCTTTTTTTTTTGAATCACATCAACTCTGACCCTCATTTTTTCTTTGTAAACAGACGCACTGAATTAGAAACAAAATTAGCTCAAGAAAACTGTAGTGAAGAAAAGAAAAAGAGACAACTTCAATCACTAGGCAGAAAAGAATCTCAATATCTGAGATTAAGAAGAACAAGGCTTGGTTTAGATGACTTTATTACAGTAAAAGTTATTGGTAAAGGTGCCTTTGGCGAGGTAAGGTTACTTTTATCTATTCATGGATGCGAATATACTTATAATGCACGTAAAGGTGCGTTTGGTTCAAGCAGGAGATACGGGCAAAATTTATGCAATGAAAACGCTTAAAAAGTCAGAAATGCTAAAAAAGGATCAGTTAGCTCATGTCAGGGCTGAAAGAGATGTCTTGGCCGAGGCAGATTCACCTTGGGTTGTTCAGCTTTACTTTTCTTTTCAAGATGCACAGTATCTTTATTTGATCATGGAATTTTTACCCGGCGGAGACTTGATGACCATGCTCATCAAGTATGACACATTTAGTGAACCGGTGACTCGGTTCTATATTGCAGAAATCGTGTTGGCATTAGAGGCTATCCATAATTTGGGATTTATCCATCGGTAAGTCGGTTATTTATATTAAAAAAAGGAGGGAGGCTCATTGTGTATGTGTGTTTAGTGATGTAAAACCAGACAACATACTTATTGACAAAGACGGCCATATCAAACTCTCTGACTTTGGCCTCTCTACCGGTTTCCACAAAACACATGACTCTCAGTACTATCAACGATTACTCGAAGGTGCACAACAGAATTCTTCTGAAGTTATTATTAATCTGAACACACAAAAGGAGAAGATTGCCACTTGGAAAAAGAATCGAAGGGCACTTGCTTATTCAACAGTGGGTACGCCCGATTACATTGCACCTGAGATTTTCTTACAGAGAGGATATGGTAAAGAATGTGATTGGTGGTCACTCGGCGCCATCATGTTTGAATGTCTCTGTGGTTATCCTCCATTCTGTTCAGAGAATCCTCATGAGACATATCGAAAGATTATGAATTGGAAGGAGACGTTAATTTTCCCAGAAGACCAACCGATTAGTAGAGAAGCAGAAGACCTCATCCGCAGGTAGCGTTTGTTCTAGTTTGATCATATTCAATTGACTGAAAATAATCTTGTAGGTTGATATGTGATCATGAGCATCGATTAGGTAGAAATGGCGCTGAAGAGATTAAAGCACATCCATTCTTTTATGGCATCAATTGGGAGCAACTTCGAAATGAAAGATCCCCTCATATACCTCAATTAAAGAGTATCACAGATACAAGTTATTTCCCTATAGAAGAATTAGAAGCAGTACCAGATACGATCGATAACCAAGGTAAAGTCAATATAACACATTTGCCCTTTCTCTAATTCATTTCTAAATAACAATAGCTTATCAAACAGATACTGTTAATGCACAAAAAGATCTTGCCTTTGTTGGCTACACTTTCAAACGCTTTGACTATTTAACAAAAAAGAATGTTTTGTAAATAAAATACCTCTTTGAATTTTGTTGCCATCAATAAATAAAAAGTAGCAATCGTACTGGATTTTAATATTAATATTGACATTTTTTCTTATATTGATTTGTTATGGACAGCATACACTTCATTCAGATTCATGAGAAAGAAGAATCATACAAACAGGACGTGACAATCAGAGCTGTTCTTCCAGGCAAACAAGCCTTTACCCTTGTTGGTTTTAGGGGTCAACACGCTCATCAAATAGAAAAAGACTGCTCCGTGACACTTCAAGTCTACCCAGTGATCGGAAGACTAGTCAGCATCTCTGGACAACCTGAAAATGTGTCTAAAGCATGGACAATGTGTTTGGACTATTTATCTAATCGCTACCCTGAACAATATACAACGGTATTATGACTATTATTATTATGATTATTGCTGACATGGACAACATTCTATGTATCATAGGATGTGGCAATCAACTTTTTATTGACAAGAGATCTAGTCACGTTACTACGGGATCCACTAGAGACCAACTTCAGTTTTGAGTATATAGCAAGAACGACAGGCACAAGGATATATCTTAAGGAAGGAACTTTACCAGAATCAACAGAACAGGTCATACGAGTATCGATTCCTACAATGGAACATGTTAATTTATTTAAAGGAGCAGTGTGTTTACTGGCTGATAATATATGTGCCTATCCACAGTTGGCAATGTCACCTGAAACAACTTATTTTATTCCAAAGGGTCACCAAGATGATATAGCTGTCAGTTTAATGAATGACGCTGCTGTGTATAATCCAAATTAATTTAGTTATTATCTATATATGCTTTGCATGTTCTATTTATCTATTTATTTATTTATATTGCTTATTTAAAGTAATTTGTCTATAGTTCATTAAATAAATATACATCATGTTTGCATACAACACATATACACAAAATATAATAACAGTGGTAGTAATAAATACAGTTTTTGATCTCTTTTCAAGTGGGGGGAGGATGTCTATGATACTATATGCTGTACACTATTTCTTCGAAGTTCAGAAGAAATGGAGGATTGTGGAGGTGAGATCAAAATGTTAGAATGACTGGATGCACGCGAGATAGGCATTGGTTTTGTTAACCTTGTTTCTAATGTCATCGGTAGGACAACAGTACCTGCAGGTACACTGACGTATGAATTACGACTGTAGTTGCCAATGGATGTGGCCAAGGGTGTGTTTTCCTTGAGATTCTCCCATTCAAGTCTATTCTCTTCTAATGTTTCAATCCAAATAATAGCCTTGGGTAAGATTGCACAGAGGGCCTCGAAATAGGGCTTTACAATAAAGTCACCGAATTTAAGACTGATACTTGCCTGTGTAGCAAAATCGCGATCCATCCCTGGTGACACAGGTAAGCCAGCCAGTTTCTCTGCATCACCCTGTCTAAAGAACTCTTGAACAATTAAATCAGACCATTGTTTGGAGATGGGCCATATCCTCACTGTATTGCTAATGTCCGCAGCATGTAAAAGAATCTTTGCAAAGCTCACACGATCTCGTTCTTCCCATGTATGAATCATAGGTGTGTCCCACATGTAGAGAGTATCTTCCAGTTGACGTGCTTCCTCTAAAAGGTCATAATGGAAAGTCATATCGGTGGCTAAAATTAATCGCTTGAAGAGATCAATCTGATCTGGGGTCTTTAGTATTTGGTGTTTCTCGAATAAGATGAGACTCGTGTCTATAGAGAGTGATTCTAGAACTGATTTGTTATTGTAGCGAATGGCATGCTCGCTCTTTGTCTTGATTTGGTAGTCGTTATTGAACCCAGGCTATTACCAAAAATGTAACAATGAGCATACACATATTGTAATCTCTGACTAAAACTTACATGACCAACGTCGTGACAAACAGCAGCAACAAATAATACTGCGACCTCCATTTGGGTCAAGTAAGATTTAGCTTCTAAATCAGTCATTGCAAAATATAATATGGAAACAACATCTGCAGCGTGATAAAATGAATGATAAGGAGTGTCATTGTATGCCAAATCTACATCAACTAAGAAATCCAATAACTGCGATACGGTCACATCTAAGGTGCTGAGCACGCCAAGCCTATCAAACATCCCAAGTAAATGTCCATATAAATCTGTACGGTTGTAGTCAAGAACATTAAATTCTGTAGTAACAAATGAACGGCTGGATTTTGACCAACGTAAATATTGCTAAAATTGAAACATGTCAACAAAACAATGTAACAATAAAAATAAATTATGTATTTACTCTTTCTATTGTTATCAAATCATTAAAGTCAAGTGTGTTATGCTTAAGCAAAAGCATGTCTTCAAATAAGACTCTCTTTTTTGGATTCAGTCGTAAAAGAAAAAAAAAAAAGAAAAAAAAAGAAAAAGAAAAAGAAAAGGAAAAGGAAAAAAGGAAAATGTTGCCATGTGGCAATGATCAACCAAGGTTTTAGCAAAAGGCGCTCATTGTTTATTGTCAGTGACTGTCATGGACAAAAATAGCACAAATCCTTGCCAATGACAGTGTAGCTTGTTACATCATAAAACGTCAAAAAATATCAAACTTTCTTTTCATTGGCTGGTTTAGTTTTTGTTCCATCGCATTGGCCTCCAGAGCTGCCAAGTCAATTTCGCCCAGATCGCTAAATTCAAACTCATCTTCTGTATCAGCCTCTATTTGTCTGATGATCGAGGCTCGTAGCGGAGTGGATGTGGCTACAGTATGGGTAGGTGACCAAGTGAATTCATCTGGTCGAATGGGCGATTGAAAGGTCAGTCGTTTAGGGGAGGGGTTAGAAGAGAGTGTGTAAAACATGGGTGTGGATGACGAGGTTATTGCTGTTTTCTTGGGTCGTTCCTGAATGACTTTTAGTAAATGATATATTTCATCTAGACCTTGCTCGTGCACCTGGAAACTAAAAAATATAATTAATCTATATTCTGTCTCCTTAGCTTTCATATATTGCATACCCTGTACAATATATAACTATCTCATTATTAATTTTTTCTATCTTGCCAATTACAGTGACCGAGCAGGATATCTCCAGCTTTTTATAGCATTTTCGTGAATACAAACATGATGTCAGTATGGCCTTGATGACGGCTGTCCCATCATCTAAGTGTATAAAGTTGAGCATTGGTCATAAATCTATATGTCATGCTTACCTAACCACAGATGGTGTTCCTCCTCTTTTTGTTCCTGTGCTACCAGTACACCATTTAGTCTATTTGGTCATGAATAGTGTTTCATTTTATTTATTCTTGATTTCCTACTTGGCTTTTCGATAGACAAGTCCAGTATCTGTCACCTCAAAGCAGTTTTGGTCAATGTAATGTTTGGAAGTAACAACATCGCGAATAAATAGTAAATGATGGCAATGTAGATTCTCTTCAGCAATGTTCAACATGAGGCAAGTGTAATTTGAAAAAAAAAAGTCAATAGTAGCTGTCGTAGTAACTGACTTCAAATCGCGTTTCAGTTTTTTTTTTTTTTTTTTTTTTTTTT